CCTGTGAGGCATTGCTCTCACTGGAAAAAACAAACAAACAAAAAAAGAGTACAGGGCAGAGAAATCAGAACTGTTGTCTGTATCAACTAACAAATACTGTATCAACTAACAACAAGTTCTGTTGAAACAAATGTTCTTACATCCAGAATGTTCTTTTATTACATTTTAGGAGGTAAAGTACAGCAACTGACTCATTACTCAAATTTCATTTGAGCTGTTGCACAACCTCAGTTAAGAATACTTTTCAATTGAAAAAGGCCTTTTTAGCACTATGAGAAACAACAAAAAAAATCCTCTTAAATGCCGTTATGTAGGTGGAATGTAAGTTTCTTCTACTCAGCTACTGGCATGCTGTCATTTCTTTTCATTCCATAGCATCAAGATAATTTTGAGATTTTATAATTAGACCAGCCTTGGAATTTCTTGTAGTGATTTCTAATTCAAAATTGGATGTGATATTTATTGCTGATTCTTCTTCTACTGCAACAGTGAGACTTTTGTCATATACTACCTACAAAGAAGATATCATTGCAAAAAAATATAGTCTTGTTAAATTTTATTTACATTCAGAAATAGGAGTTTCACAGTGCTTTGAACTAGCCAGAGTGCTGGACCAGAGATATTTTTACCACTGTGCTCATTTTTGCAAGCCAGTAAATTATTCCCTCTGACTTCCCTTAAGTCTATCCAGTGTTGATATTTTTTCTGTGATTATGTTTCCATAACACTGCACACAGGTTCTTTCAGTCCTTATTATTGTGTTTGAAGCCTTGGGTAGTAAAAGAACCAGTATTTTCAATTTTAGTAGCTCTCTATCTAATTAGATAAATTTATAAAAGTGATGAGAGTGTTTTTTTAGTTAATTTATTAAATTAAATATTTTGCTCTTACATACCCATTTTCTGCTCTTCTGGCTGTTGAAAATACTCCATCTAATGTTCCATCTCCTAGGCACCATATGTTTTTGTAGGACAGGTATGGAGAGCTCCTGCATGAGTGCCATTTCTGCTGGTTCCACACCTGTCATGCAGTCAGGTTTTCACCAGCACAATAATTTGGGAGCACCAGTTATGATTTATGCTGGGGGTTCTTTTCAGAAAAGCTCCCTGGTTTCATTCTAATTGATGGCTTCAGTTCCTCTTCTGAGAAAAAACTCCTTATCAGGACAGGCATGTGTGATAGCAAATCCTGGCACAGAAAGAGGATCTGTGAGTGGAAGTGAGCCAATGAGTTTGTTAGAGAAACACAGCTATGGAAACAAAAATCCTGAATTAGTTTATATTGTCATCTGAGCAGGATGCACAAATAGTAACTCTATGAGGACAAAGCAATTGAGATTTAGCTAGAGGAGATATTAATAGGTTGTGGTAATCTCTACATAATATTCCTGCTTAGTGTTTCATTATACTGGATAGGGTTTTTTAAGGCAGCACATATCACAGCACAGAAACCATTCTGCCAAAATTATTGTGACAGAGACTTGCAGAATGACCTGACAACCCTGGGGAGCTTGGTCAACCGTTCAATTATGTTACTTTTTCCTTCTGTTGTTAAAGAAGAGGGAAGGAGAAAGAGTTACTGAGATGAAATTGTCTGATATGTGTCTGCTTTATGGTCACTGTGGTGGGGCCCTTCCTAGAAGTGTGCTCTCAGTTACCCGAAGAAGCCAGCTCAGATAAATACCTATGACTGAATTTTGTTGCAACAACACAATACAGTGCAGGGTAAGTTTATACTTATAACAACAATGCTGCTAATTGCTATTTGCACAGTCCTAAGTGATATAAATAGCTACCTTTGATCTAAATACCAGCACAGGCAGGGGCTGATAGAGAAATGCATTTCTAAAAGTCAAGGGTGATAGGTAATAGCAGAGTTTACCTCAGTTTCAAGGTTTCACTTACAACCTTGGCTAAAAACAGGTCTTTTCCCAATGCTTTGTTGTCCGTTGCAGCTCCTACATTCTAACCCTTGTTGAGGAACTTCCTCTGTGAAATAATTTTTTTCCTCACTGCAGCACGGCATGACTAACTTCCCGGAGACAGCACTATTGACAAAGCAGAAATAGTTTTTTATTACTCTCTCCTTTCTTATCATCCCTGTCATGCTGGCACTTCAGGGCTTCTCAAAGCTCAGAATAATGGAAAGTGGCTCAATGTGTGAGATCTTAGTGGTGCTGCAGGGCCACAGGATATCACAGCTGCTGAAGTGAGAAAAAACAGCCCAAATGGCACCTCTGTAAAATCCCCCTTGTGGGAAATGTGGTCTTGGTGTGTCCAAGGCCACAACGTTTCCTTAGAAACCCAGATCAATCATTCAAGGAAATGTGAGCCACTTCATGCAGTGTAATTAATTTCCATACCAAGAAGTTTCCTTTGCTGGAGGAACATCTGACAACATCATATCAGTGAGCCTGTGTGTGATCCCTGCCACAAAGACACCCAGATTCTGCCAAGCAGGGATGGCAGCAGGGGCCCTGCCATTCTCAGGGCTTTGCCAGGTCAGTGGTGGCTGAGCTTCCTCTGCTAGGACAGGTTTAACTCCCTCCACAGAGTGAAAGCTGGCAGTGACCTCCTGAGCAGTGTTTCACGTCACTATTTCCATGCCAGGAAAGCTACTGAGTCAGGTATTTCTGGGACCAGAATATTCTACCTTTATCTAGTTCTGGTGGTTTGGTGAGTCTCTTTGTTTCATGGGGGAAGGAGCAAGTATACTTGAGTGGAATAAGTTTTACTAGCAACAGGATGCCTACAGATAGGACCTTAGGGATTTCTCAGATTCTGACCTTTAGGTCAGATGCCTAATCCTTTACCATCCCTGCTGAGACGGCCAGTTTGCTTGGGAATGGTCCTGGTGAGGAGTTATCCTTGTTGAATCTGCCCATAAACTTCAGCAAGCTCGGAGTTTTGTTGTGCTTGGACTGCTGCCATGCAAACCTCAAATCCTTGTAAAATTTCTCTGAAATGAATGAACAATACAGTGTGGAAGTTCTCTCCTACCCCTTTACCTCACACATCCCAGTTACACCAGGAATTACTTCTAACCTAGTCATGCATGTCAAAGGGGAAAAGGGGATGGGAAGAGCTGCCTGTGACAATAATCCTCTCAGTTGCTGCCTCATATTTTTGTTAAATCTGATACTGGCAGCAGGTGTGTGCTAAGCTCCCCTCATTGCCCATGACAGTCATGGAGCAGCTCCAGTCCTGGCACAATCAGCAGTGGAACATTTTGGGGGAGGTCTCCCAAACTGTGGACACCTGAGTGGGAGCAGAGTCACCAGGAGCCCACAACCAGTGCAAGAGTGACCAATGGGACCTGAGTGTGGCCAGAGGAGCACTGGTACAGCCTCACCCACTGCCCTACCTTCTGCTAGACACTGCAATTTAAGGCATCATGCCAAGGCAGCTGTGAAATCCCAGCTATTTTATAACAAAATTTGAAACATCAGTTGAAGGTAGGGTCTGGTTTTCTCAGTATTCATAATGTTTCTCAAAAAGCAGACCATAAAGGAGTAATAGCCTTTGAGACCTGAATAAGTGGTCCCCAGCTAGCCTACAAAACCACATTCCTTGAAAAAGGATTGGGGAAGTCCAAAGGAAACCAGTGAATCTATTGTAGTAGCCAAGTAATATTTTAGTCAGTGCTTTTGCATTTCAAGCTGCAAGCTGAAATGTAGCAATTTGATTTTCAAATGCTTGGCCAAACCATTCAAATGAGGCTTTATAAGAAGTGTGATTGTTTGTTTAACCTCAAAAAGGACATCCTAAAATATTATGGAGAATGAGGGAATCCCCTTATAGTGGATGTAACAGTACAGTCATGACTCAGGATCTAAAGGGCTGGTGGGGTCTGGCTGATGGGTGGCTGTTGTGTGACACTCAAAGACAGGTAGCCAGGTCTGGCTGATGATGTGACACACAAAGCCAGGTAGCCAGGTCTGGCTGATGGTGTGACACACAAAAACAGGTAGCCAGGTCTGGCTGATGGTGTGACACACAAAGCCAGGTAGCCAGGCACAGGCAGTGTGTGCAGGGAGATGCTGGATGAATGCTCCTGCTGGTATCGATGCCAAGAGTTGCCTACACTTTCCTGGCCTCAGGTTGTGTGCTGCTCATGGCTGGCCACACTCCAGTTCCTCTAGACATTATTCCCTAGTGTCCTTCTGGGGATGTGTTTTGGCTTGAGGTAGCCATGCTTAAAGACTCTCGAGAAGCACAGGCCAGGAAAAGAACACCAGGTGCTTGTCCTTTCCTACTGCTCACACCTCTGGAGGAGCTACCCTGAAAACTTTGTTTATAACACTAATAAAGACAACTAGATAATATGGGATATTTGATGCATAAAAACATGAGAGACCTAATGCAATTTTATTTTAAAATCTAATTAGTTATTTGTTCAAAAGTTAATTGGTCACATTCATGTTTCTGTGAAATAAGTCAGGCATCTTCAAAATATATGTCTTCAAGTTACTTAGAGCATTAAACTAATATTAGAAATGAAAAGTTCAAAACATAGTAAAAGTATTTTACTCTAATCTACTTTCATATTTTCAGACTGACATCATCGTATTGCCTATTTTTGCAATGTATTAAAGGATGGAAGTCTAGCCACTGATTTTGTTTATTTTATAAAAGAAATTAAACAAAAATATTATCATAGTTCTGATGTATAGTTTCATTTTATTCAGTATTAGTTATTTGTAGAAAATAAACCTTTTTTTTTTCTTCTTCTTGGGATTTTTTTTTCCAATTTGCAGGAATAAAAATGACAGAAAAATCCAAGCTGAAGTTTTAAATTAGCTGAAAAAAATTACAGTCCAAGATGTGCTTAGGTCTTTTAATCTTATCAACAAGGCACAGGATTGAGGAACTGAGAAATGACCTTCAGAGGGTTTTTGTGTGTAGTCAAAGGCATAAACAGGAATATGTAAGGAATATTATTTTTTTTTCTTTCTCATGTGCTTGGTTAACACTATGACTCTCTACCTTCTTGTCTTTCAGCCACATAATCAATGAGCTGATAGAAACAGAACGGGTTTATGTAGAAGAACTTCAAAGTATAATAGAGGTAAGAAACTCTTCTGAAATTACTTTTTTGGTGCTTGACCTCTAAGTCATCACTGCAGGTGCACATCCTTCATGGGCTGAGCACTCCCACCTCCTGTTTATAACACACAGGCTGTGTTGGCAAGATAGCTCAGCCTTGGAGATGGAGAATGGGAAGGATGTTGTGAACATCCTTCCTCAGGCCTTAAAGGAAAAGGCACCTTCTCTGGCCCAAGCTCACAGAATGACAATTTGCATGGTTCTGAAAGTTATGGACAGAGAGAGTTAATAATGTCTTTTCAAAATATTACCAATACGTCTCAGAAGCAGCACTTTGATGTCCATGGGGCCAGCCACTAAATTCTGTGAATCTGCATTTGGAAAATGATTGAGGAAAAAGGAAGGCACCCCTCCTGCTCTTCTTTATTGTCCCATGTTGTGCTTGAACACAGAAAAAAAAGCTCATGCTGCAAATATAATTCTTGAACTTTTGAAAATGATAGGATACCAGCATATTCAGTGTGTGTGGAGTCTGAGGTCCCCAATCTGTGGGAGGACAGAAGCTGAGTAGGGATCAATCATGCTTATATTTGGGTGGGACTTCTGGGACCTGTGGTTGATTCTTTATTGCATTTGTTCCATGGGAGCTGGCAGCTCTGGTAATTGATGTATTACTCTTGAGTTTAAAATCCGAATGTTCTTTTCTCAAAGTTATTGTTGAAGAAACACAATACAGCTTTTACAAGAAACAAAAAAAAAGTCCAACAAATAAATCCAAACTAACTCTTGCGCAATGAAGCAGGGTAGCAGAAAGATATCTACCTGTCAATCTTAGCAGTCCCCATCCCTACATGACCCAAATGGCTTTTGAATCCTAGAGACATAATTTTGTCTATTTTTTCTCAAGCTCGTGACCTGTTCATTTGTGGTTAAAATGTGTTTGCACAGTTACAGGGTAAAATCTCTGGGGAAAATCAGAAGCATCAGGAATTCATGGGAGCAACAAAGCAGCAGGCATGGGAGAAGCTTTGTTTGCTCTGTGGAGAACAAAAGCACATGAACTTTAGGGCTTTCCAGTCCTTTGAACACAGTACTTCTTCCCTGGTAAAAACAGTCTGGTTTTATTTTCCGCTCTTGCCTGCAGGGATACGCTTCAGAAATGGACAATCCCAATTTAGTACATCTGATTCCATCTGCACTTCAGAACAAGAAGGAAATTCTTTTTGGGAACCTCCCAGAAATCTACTATTTCCACAACAGGTACCTGGGAACTGGTGGTTGTCCTGCATCCTTGGGTGCCACCATCACATCCAGTGCTTTTCTGTTGGGTGCTTTCTCATGCTTATACCTACACTGGCAGGAAAAGTCATTCTCACTTGGTCTCTGTGTGTATCCTGTAAAACCCACGTGTAGAGAACGCCTCCAAGATCATCTATTTCATCTTTTTTTTTGGGTGAAGATTGTACTCTTTGTACATTTACTAGTGATTTCCCCTGGCAGGTTCCATTTTGAATGTCAGCTGTGGTCAGTATATTACCACCTCTCTTGGTACACTGGAAGATGTCACAGGACTAAATCCTGATATTTTCTGTCTGGCAAGACACCTTTGTGAGGAAGTTTTCTTAGTGTTCAGCTAATTTGTCCTGTGTTTCTGTTATCAGATCAGAAGATGTTATATATTTGATAACACTTTTCTTTTTATCCCTCATATAAGATCACCAATTTTCCCAGAAGCCATGTCCATACTGTGGATAAGAAAACCCAGAGCCCATAACTACAGAATATAAGTTATGAACAAGATAAACCCTTTTGCAATCAGCTTTCAAAACACAAAGTTTAGGGCTACTTCTATAAATGTCTTGCTTTTCCTAGCCTTGCTTAAGCACGACTGGCTGTAACCAAAGTGGGAATTGAGGAACTCTTTTGAATAATAATTGCCTGTAAGATGTAACAAATAGTTGAACAGAATAAATTTAAAAAATCTCTTTTACAAGTCTTAATATTATGCCAGAGTAGTTAATACATAGTAGAAAAAACTATTTTCCAGTTTATATATTATTTTCAAAGATTGTGTCTTCCACTTGGAGAAAGATATTCCTCTCCCTTTGCAAGACCACTCTTTCTTTCCCTAAAGGTTTAGTGCATTGACAGTCACTGCAGAAGCCTTTGGACTACATCCCATATTTTCACTGCTTGCTGATTGAGCAACTGCCTCTGACAGAGCATTCCTCTCTTTTCTAGCTGTTCTGAAAAATCCTTATACCCAAATGGAAAGCAGGTATTTGGGCTGCACATTAGAAACAAATTTCAACAGCCAGAGGAATCAGATGTAGCAGATAAAATATGATAATATTTGTGATTTAGGGAATCAGGTGGCAGCCACATCCCATTTTTCTAAAATATGTATTTCTTGGTGTGTTACCTTCCCCACTGAATCCTCATATTACAGAAATGAAAGCTTTAAGTTGGATTTATACAAGCTAACATACAATGTGAATGGGATTTTACATTACTCTTTCTCTTTTTTTCTCCCTCTCAGGATTTTCCTTAAGGAGATAGAAAATTGCATTGAAAACCCTGAGCTTCTTGCCCGATGCTTTTTGAAAAGAGTAAGTGTATCCTTTTTCAGGTTTGAATGAGTATCTATGGTCTTATCCTACAGTATTTACAGATTTACTCACATCTTTTCAGCCTGTTTGCTTTTGTGAATGAGGGAAACTCCTCTAAGCAGATAGTCCCATATTAAGCCACAGTTACCAAGCATATATTCTGATATCTGACCCTTTACCTGGTTTACTGACAGGAAGAGATCTGTTACCAGTGCTTTACAAGTATTTTAAGTCCCATTTAAAAGAAAAAACCCAACAAATAACAGAGATTCAAATGTTTGACATGCTTTTCATATCAGACATATCTATAGCAGGAGAATGATGTAACCCAGACACCACCCTGCAGTAAATAAGCAGAGGATGGTGTCACAGCAGGTTGCTCTGAGTGCAGACAACACATCCTGTTCCTGCTTTATCTTATCTCTCTCTTCTCTGCACAATTCAGGACACTTGGTCCCCTAGAACTGTTCCAGCTCTGCTGCTGTCCTGCATGGACCCCACCATCCCCATAAGACTCTGTGAGGTTGATTCCCTTTATTTCTCCACACAACTCACCAAGTGGGATTCTCCCCTCTGCTGAGGTGACTCTCAGTGCCCAAGTGCTGCAGCTCTCTCCAAGAGCTGCCTGTGATGTCCCTCCTCCACCCCCACTCAGCCTGACCATTAGTTCTTTCCTGCAACACAACCAAAGGTGCTTGTTTATATAGCACTCCTTCAGGGGCCCTATTAATGAAAAAAAAAATCTGTTTTGGTGGTTTGCTACTGCTTCAGAGTTTGACAAAACTGTGTGAATAAGGCTCTGTGTTTTGCACAGGAAATGGAAGTGGCAGGAGAAATGGGAAAGTCTGTCCACTGTAGTCAAAGGTACCTCCTGCTTCTACTGTATACTACAGGCAGCATTTGCTGCTTTTCCAGAGCACGCATTAAATACAGCCATGTTTGGATGAACCAGTCAGAGGTGCTGAGCACTGCCACATTACTAAGGTTTAATGGGAATTTGAGCATGTGATACTTGCAAAGGGTATGCTTCCAATTTACAAACAGGTCAGGCTGAAGAGAATCACGCAAGTGTAAATGTGATTATATGTCCATTGAATTATTTTCTGTTCAACAACTCAGCATTTAGAGCTTGAGTAAATGACACTACTAAGGCATATGTTGTTAGCCTAGGATTCAGATACTGGGCAGGAAAATACTGTGGTGAAATCATTATGCAAATGAGGAAAAGCAGTCTTTGAAGAATGCAGACCTCTGAAACCAAGAAATGTAAAATAGTCCATGTGCTGCATATATCCCTAAAGAATGCAGCTAAATAAAAATTCTTGATATAGAAATGTAGAAATGTTCTGATTCTGCAGGAGGTTCAGATTCCATATTTAAGTATTGTAGCTTGTCTCTCTGTAAAAACAGCTGTTAAGTCAAATTCTCCTCACTATTATACCAATATGAAGACAGCACTAAAGCAGGGGTTCAGGTATGAAGTGAAAGAAAATCAGTCCTTCCATCACCTTAGCTCATCAGTTTCTGTGGCCTCATCAAACCACACTAAATCTATCTAATAAGAGGTTAAATCATGCATTTGCTTTCTCCCTATTTCAAATTTCACACTAAGAAAGCACAAGCTTCTCTCTTGAGATGTCTCTGCTCACACAGTAGCACCTTTGATTCCTGCCCTTATGTTCTGTTTTTAGAAGAAGCCACATAAAGTCCAGAAATGTGTTGTTTCTGTTGGACTGCCTTTGGGAGGCACAAACAAAAGTCTGGTTGTGTGTTTGTGCTCCCTATGATTTGGCAGCTTTTTATGCCTTCCTGCTGAGCAGTGGCTTCTGGCTGGCCCGTGAGTTACGGCCGTGCTTGCAATGACAGGGGCAAACAGAAGCAGCTGCTGTTCCAAGTGATGCTGAGCTCTGGGAGGAATCACACTCTTCAGGTTGTCCCCCTTTGTATGGGTGTGACCATCCTTCTACAACAACAGGCTGGGTCTATGATTGGAAACAGACAACTTTTTAAAAATTCATACTTTGAAGAGTTTTACTCTGTCTGATCACACCGGGCCTTTTGAGCCCTGATTCCAGAGCTGCTTGAAAGTATCCTGAGAGCTGCAGTGAGACACTCTGGTGCCAGAATCACTCCATCCCCTGCCAGCCATTCCTCTGCCATGGCCCCACACACCTTCCCAGCTCCACCAATGCCACCTGAGCAGCTGACAGCATGAATGTGAACCCTGCATCTCAGGTGATGGGAGAAACAGCCTGTGGAGTCTCTCTCTGGCTTTGTCTCCTGGAACATGGCAGCAAAATCTGGTAAAAGAGGAGCCAGAAATGCCGTTCTTGTTCTCCCTCCCACTTTGCCTGACCTCGTTTAGGGCATGATCTTCAGAGGAGCTAAATTAGAAGTGAGCCAGCTCAACTTTACCCACGTGGCAGCTATTTTGCCATCACCAAGATGCCTGACCTTCCTTACAGCTGTGTGGTCAAGGACTACACAGCATTCAAAGGCAGGAGGGATGTGCACTGAATTCCTTTCAGAATGGTCTTCTGGTGCTTTATCTGGGCTGATCTGCTTTCCAAAGGCTGATCTGCTTTCCAAGGGGCTGAGAAGAAGGAAACCTTACCAAACCAAGGCAAGAATGCCCAGGATGGAACCAAAGGTGTCAGACTGCTTACCAGAATGTGCCAGGTGATGTGTCTGGCAGGAGTGATTCACTGTGGATTACCACACTTCACTTATTCATATTGCTAACCTCAAAAAAGGGAATAGTTTAATAGGAGCCAGCAGTTGGAACATTTGGTCATTCAGGGAGAAAGAAGCATTTAGAAAAGAAATCTACCTGTGAAAGAACAGTAGCAGCTGACCAGAAACCTGTGAGTTTGATTCAAAGGTCTAAATTCTGGACTAATGCAAAAACTATCCAAAAATCAGCAGTCAAAAAGATAATTGGAACTGTGCATACATGCCATGTGCATTGGAGCTTACAGAGCTGTCAGGGTCCAAATCAGTGGAAAGGAAAAGCATTGCAGGACAGAGGAGCTTGGTGTAAAAGTACCAGCAAGAAGTCAGAACCTTTGCATGTGAAAATAGAGATGTGTGGAATATTTAAGACTGGGATTTGAATAATTAGACAATCAATTATTTCTTGGCATTTTAAAGTCTGAGCCTAATTCTATTCATAACACTATTGCAAAACTTAAAGCTGTAATTAAATATGTAAGTATCTGCCTTAGCAGGTGTCAGTGATTTAGGCAGCAGCGGATTGCACTGGAATAGGGTGGTTCCACTATGGCAAATTACTGGTAAATTGCTGGTTATTGTACCTTTTCTTTAAGTTTAAATTGGTTCTTTTCTCTTATTCCTGATAGTTCTCTTGTCTGTTGCTCTCTGTGCTCTTCTTACCCAGTCCAGTTAGGTTTCTGTGGGCTAGGATGAGATTGTAATTCTTGATTATGCTTTGTTGCTATTTTTAGTTCTGTGGGGTTTACCCCCTGCTAACTTCCCTCCAGGGCAACATGTACAAACAATTATATTTTTGTGAAGAAAACTCCGCACCTGTTTTGAAACAGAACCATAAATATTCTATGGAGTTGCAACAGAAGAGGTTTTTGTGTTGCATAATCCTTGACACAGTGTAGTGTTAGGTGGCACAGCTCTGATTTCCCAGCTGATTCATCAGGGTGATGTCAGGATGGGTCTGTAGAGGAAGACAGCAGCAATGCTGACTTCTTCTGGTAATTGTATAGAAGGAAGTGATTTCCCTGCAGCAACAGTGTATGGGAACTGCCTGGTGGACTGAAAGCACAGAGGAACTATCTGGGAATTGCTGAGATTTATTTTTGGTGTTTGCTTTGCTTTGCTGAGGTCACATCCAGCAGGGTAGGTACAGATGAAGGTGGGAAGTTCCCGGCTGGTCGGGCACAGCCCTGCTCAGGAGCCCCATGGCACTGCCCCGTGGCCACCCGGGGGCACAGGCAGCAAGCCCAGGACCTGGCAGGGGAACACCCATCTCTGCATCCACCCACAGAGCCCAGGCAGCCCAGAACACCCGCTCCAGGCTTTTGTAGAGATTGTCTCTGTTTTTACTGAAGTCAGGGAGATTTTTGCCGTGGACCTCAGTGAGAGCACTTGGAGTGTAGTCAAAGCTAAATAAAGTGAATCCACCCACTTCTAATTTGGAGAGGACAAGGTTTAAGCACATCCCCCTGCCTGGCCTGGGACATCAACAAGACAAACTTCCTCCTTTTTAACTTGTCCTTGTACTGTTGAAAGCCAACAATATTTTTGAAGTGTGTTGAACTGGTAAACCTTAGTCATCATTAACAATTACAGTCTGTGCAAATATTATTAATAAAATTGTTAATAAAGCTTAAATTTCTAATGTTTCTTTCTCTTTTTGTTTTGTTTTGGTTTTTTCTCAAACCATCAATTCACCTCCCTGAAAAAGATACTGGTTTTGCTGTTAGATTATTTATCTTCCAGTCTACAGTCTCCTTGCTTTGTATGAAAAGTGAGGAAAAAAATTTCTCACTTTTAGGTGTATTTAACTTAATTAGAACTAAAAATCAGGTTTAGTGGTTTCAGTATGTTTTTTACAGAGTTATTCCATCTAATAATTACTTCATGTCTTAGGATGGAAGGTAAGAAAAAGTGTGATTCAAGAAAGACACTCTGAATTCTTTTTCCTTCCCTTACCTAAACTCTTCTTTTTTTGCAGAAGGAGGACCTCCAAATATATGAAAAGTACTGTCAGAACAAACCAAGGTCTGAAGCTCTCTGGAGACAGTGTGGAGACAGCATCTTTTTTCAGGTGGAATTTCGTTGCAGACTAGCAGTGCAAAGCCCTCAAAGCTCATTTTCCCTGCGAATCTCTATTCTTTAGGGAACCTAGAGTAAAACACACATTTTCCTGCATGCTTCTTATACTGATGGCAGGTTGGCAGGTGCCCACTGTGTGTCAAAGTGTTCTCTACAGGAGACTGGGCAGGTAGAGCAGTGGGTAGATTTCCTGGACAGGAGCCTGGCTCTGCAGGCTATACCCACACCAAAAAGTGCTGGCTGCTTTGCAACTCCCAGCTGATTGCAATCTCATCAGCAGGGAATGCCAGATTTCAACACCAAGTGGAACCTGAACATTAGCTCTTGTTTGGATATATTTTCACTGTGGGATAAGGAACCCAGAAATTCCTATGCAAATGGAACAAATTTCTCTCTCAATTAATTCACAGATTTATGATCTTCAGATTGTGAAATGATAATGGTCTTGGTGACTTGCCTGTGTTTCAATAAACAATTTTATTTTTCTTCCATGTTGTCTCCTGCAGGAATGTCAGCGTAAATTGGATCATAAGCTCTCACTTGATGCTTATCTCTTAAAGCCAGTTCAGAGAATCACCAAGTACCAGCTGCTGCTAAAGGTAAGTTCTCCATGACAGTGCAGAGAATTCCAATGCGTGGCTTGTTTTACTTCCAGAATTGTATATCAGTCAGGAGTACCTGGATATAAATGCTCACCCAGTTCTTCAGCAAATAACTCAGCATTTTTCAGTTGCAAAATGGTAGAAAACAATCTTCTACAGGGACTTCCTGTTCCCAATCTATTTTAGATTTTAGATTAGGCTTTTTCCCCATAGTTCCCAATCTATTTTAGACTGGGAGCTGCTATTATTTAGCAGTACTTATACTAAGTAATAGCAGTATACTATTACATGTATAGCTTTCTCTATATAAAATATTTTACTACGTTTTTAACATAGTATTTTATTTTCTTATTTATTTTTTATTTCTCTTTAAACAGAAATTGAGCTTGTCTTTATTGTATCGGTATATGGTTTTACAATTTGAAAACAGGAACTGATGCCTTAAATCCTGTCAGTAACATCTGTCCCTGTTTAACAAAACTCTTTCAGCTCCCTGAAGTAATAGTTTCCCATGGTTGTGACTCAAATCTTTCAGAGGGAGCCACTCCCTTTTGCTGCTTCTTTTTAAAAGACACAGGCAGGAACAAATTGTCATTTTTCCACAGAGTGAATATGTGAACTTCCTCTTGATTGGTTGGAACCATGAGTGGTCCATGCTTGAAATTCTGGTCTGAACTGGGCAATAGAAAATATATACACTCAAAACAATGATTTTTTTTTTTTCTTTTTAAGGTGGTGGCTTAAATTTGTGTCTCCATCTACTCAGTTCTTAAAAATAATACTTACTGACTTTCCCTACAGGAAGGTCATGAAAGTGAATTACATGCTGTTCTCAAGCCTCTGGGCCTAAAGTAGTGTTATGTACTGTCATGAAATTTAGCATTGAAATTTGCAATGAAGATTTTAGGTTGCCATTTAACTTGCTAACAGCTACTATGGCACTGCTGAAAATGTGCCAGTATAAGCCATGGGAGGGCCTGGTTGGCCATTCTTGTATCTCTGTGAACTGCTTATTGACTTCGTGTAAACCTATAGAGTTCAAATATTGAATATGGATTTTGACAAGGATGTAACTTCACTGATTCCAGTAGATTTACATCAACTCTATTTCTTGAAACTATTCTGTGAGAAGGGAAAAAAATGTCAAGGTCTCCAGGAAAGCAAGAGTAAAACAGATTTTACTTTTAATTTGAAATATGACTGTAAATAAACCCAAGATTAGATCAAGGAGTAAAATTCTCAAGCAAAACAGGTCTCAGCCATTGGGGTTTAAAGCTTGTCAGACCAGTTTCATACTTAGCAACAACACATTGGCACTGGCATTTACTTTGTCAGGGTTTATGAGGTCTGGGAAGATGGTGCACTCCATCCCTGGCTGCAGGAGCATTTAAAAGTGTACAAAAATGGAAGCCAGTGAAAAATTGGTAGCAAACAAGTGCTTAAGAAACTGTGTGCCTTGAGTGGTGGGCAGACTGGATTTGAATTGTGGGTCACAATTACTGCAACCCTCTGGTTTCAATCAGTTTAGCTAATATGCTCATGCTGATAAAAGCAGCATGCTCACATCTCATGAGATCCATCCTCATTCTGGAAAATGTGCAGCAGGTACTGTAGGAGTGCATCCTGCCTTTGCCTTCTAATCCCTGGTTACCCAAGCACTTGAGGAGGGACTGCTGCTGTTTGGGGTTTGCAGGAACTACCTTTTCCATCCCTATTTTACAGGAACACAAGCACCTCAGCTTTTGGATTAGATATTTCCAAACTCAAAATGTCAAACCTGCCAAATTCAGACTAGAAATTAATTCATATTTTTAACAGTGGTAATAAGTACTGGAACTAATTGCAGAAGAAAATGGGGAATTGTCTAACACCTGAAATAATTATACTGAGTTTCTTTTCTAGCAGATGTGAAGAAAATAAACCCCTTATGTAATTCTATGGCATGCAAGGAGTTAATTGCAAATATGTCAGAATGGTCCTGTCTGTCTTAAACGAACCCTTTAAACTTGAGAATGTTCAAAAGATCAAAATGTGTGTCCTCAATGACCACACTAGTGGAATGTCATATTTGACGGTTTTTGGGTTTTTTTGTTCCTCTTTTGTTTTCCTCTAGTTCTGTTACTTTGTTTATACAACACAAATTCCAGGAGGATTGTCTTACAGTGTCTTTTGGTATCAGAAATTCTCAAGTATTCCCCATATCTTTTTTTAATCAGGAAATGCTGAAGTGCAGCAAGAATTCAGAAGGCACTGCTGAATTGGAAGAAGCCCTGGCCACGGTGCTTGATATCATCAAATCAGTAAATGACTCCATGCACCAGATAGCAATCACAGGATATGAGGTAACTGCTGCTGTTCCTACTCTGGTCTGTCTGAGCCATCCCATGTTCCTGTCACCACTGGTCATGCTGTGCCCACGGCTGGTACTGTGCTTTATGGAGCCTGTGCCACATTCCTGAAGGGTGTCACTCAGAGATGTGTTGTGATGACCAAAAATACATCTCAGCACACCTGTCACACGGAGCTGGGGTGTGAATGTGGGGGCATAATGGGGAAAATGCAGGACTTTTGAGTAATTGCACCCAAAAGTAGGTGAGAGGTACATGTGGCAGAGCTAACTTAAGAAATTTGCTGAAACTTTGTGACTCCTGTGCAACTCAAGTGTTTTCAAATCTTTTGCACTTAGGGAGAAAAATGTGGCTTTCATTTAAAGTGGGTACTGGAATCCATGCCAATGATTGGCAAGCTTGTTATCTGAAATGTGAAATAACAACCACGGTACAAATCAAAGGGCACAAATATATGTCTCTGCAGAAGCTCCATTGAAGTCATATGACTTTCAAGATCTAGTGCTGACTACATAAAATGAGCCCTTAAGTGAGAAGTGGAAGTGATTGACACATAAAGGAGAAACAAGCCTGGCAAAATGAGGCCTGAGAATCATGTGGTTGCCCATTTTGAAATAGCTGCAGGGTGAAATGTCAAGAAAGAAACAATATACTGAGTATTGTTCAAAGAATTTTTACATCACAGTAACAGGCTTTAATCCAGAAAAACTATTTTGTGCAGAACCTGATTTCCTGAGAAGGTGCTGAGGTCTGTACAGACAAGGTCTGGGTGGGAAGAGTTGCTCTGTTTATCAGGATGGGAGTGGCCCTAGGAGTTTTGATTTCTATGGTTCTCTTTTGTGCAAGTGCATCTGGTAGCTGAGGAACCCATGCCTGCTGCTAACATGATTTTATGAATAAATTCAACTGCTTGCTCATTTAACTGCTTGTCAGAGATCCATTGCTGCACACAGCTGCAGATGTGGACTGTGCATTACACTTGGGATGAGAATTTGAGTTCTGCCTGCAGTAGCTGCGCTGGGTTGAAGGTGAAGCAGTGGCCACTGGCAAGCACTGAATAGGTTTGGTGATTGTGGATCAGAGAAACATCACAGGTCATAAATACAATCTTAGATCTCCTGAACCTGACAAGCTTAAATAAAGCAGCACATGGTCATGGCTAAATCTGAGTGTCTCAGACACTCATTTTAGTTCATTTTAGAAAAACTCTTTAGAGCCTGTATATTATTATTGCCGACTTGAACCAGTCAACATGGACACGGATACAGCACACATTCTACCTCCCAATTTCCACTGTTTCTTATTAATTTTCAAAGGGAAAGGTAGCTTTCCTCCTGTATTTCTCAGTTTAAATGTATGTACTTGCAGCAATTCAGCAAAAAATTTATTTCAAAACAGTTCTGTAAAGGGAAGGGAAGAAGAACTTCTCCAAGAAAGGTAACATATCATCCTGAATAGGGGGGATTTATCCAGATTCCTGTCCATATAAATGCTGAGGTCATCCTTTTGTCTATTCCTTGCTTTAAAGTGTGAGTAGTTTTGTACTCAGGAATTCAACAGAACATTGCTGTTGCTTTTCAAATTCTACTTTTGAATTTTCCAGCCTTTCATGAAATACCAGATAGTAACTCCAAGGACTAGATTTTAGCCTCTGATTTCTTAGCTGAACTGCAAAACATGACACAGTGGGACATGGCCACTGTTTAGCCCAATGCTGACAGCATTCCTGAGATGGTTTGTTACATGACTATTAAATGGGGTGAAAGTGTGAAAGAGGATGTACCCAATAATTTCTTCTCCCTGTTCCACCTGTCCCAGATGCTCAGCTGTAGTGCCAAATATACACCTCCCATAGACAATGAAACCACACCCCATCTTGTGGAGTCTTTCTCATACAGCCATGATAGAAATACTTGCCTGGAAAACCTTTCAGAGAGGGATAGTATGGCAGTAGGAAAGCAGGTTTGGTGACAGCTGATGAATGCTCCCAACTGCATATTCTGTTTCTTGGACTTGGGCACATGCACATTTGAGGAGTTGAACTCCTGTGTAACAAAATGCTACCATGTAAGTCTGGGGTTGGTTTGGTGTATGTTTTTTATTTTTTAGCAAAACCACAAAAAAAAGCTCAGAGAGCAGAAGATTTAGATGTGTTTCCTACTATTACCCTAATATTTGTGGGTAGTTTGTCCATGAATTATGGTGAGGGATTCTTATAAATTATCGTATGTATTGCTCATCTTCCATAAACATGGGATACTATGAAATGCTCAAACAGGGGAAAATTATATTTGAGATAGTGACCAAATCCTCCACTTCAAAGAAACTTCCTTTAGGATGAAATATTGCTGTCCACTAGCAGAAATAACAAGAAACTGTGTCCTCCTATTTGCTGCCTATGCTGAAGAGAGTGCAGTGCTTGTGGGCTGATATTCAAAGTGTCCTGTGGGATTGCTGCAGACTGCCATCCCTGTCTGTCTCATTCTTGTCTCCCATATCACTCACCATTATCCCAATCCAGAGTTAAGGCTGGAGAGAGAGAGCTGTCACAAGAGTTGAACTGAGCTTCTGGATCTCAGTGCTGTATTGAACAGTGCCTGGAGTGACAGAAGCCTCTCACCATTGTCAGAACAATGTAGAAAATATGCTTGGGGTTTTTTTTGTTTTTTAATTTAGCTTTGCATATCAATGTGCTTTTCACAGGCTTGCAGTTTATAGCTACATGCACCTATAGATACAAACACCCACAGTCCTGTATGCACAACGGAAGTACCGAGGTCTAGATATTAAAGATGACAGACTTATCTAAATTGCTGAGGGTTTCTGAATGGTTTGGAGAGTCTAATAATATCCTGATATAGAGTGTAGAAGTACCTAATAAAGCTCTGGTTTTGCAGTTGAATGTAGGGTAGAGGAGGGGGAGTGAGAGGGGAGAGCAGGTTGCAATTCTTAGTATAAGAAATGAGACATTCCCACTTGAAGTCAACATCTTCACCTTATAATCAACAGAACATGCAAATGTTGAAAGTAAGTACTTTAATAATGCACTGGGCTTATTCCCTCAACTTATTATTCAAAGCATTCCTAGGAAAACTTGTGTTAAGATAGTTATGATTATCATAATTTGTTGAATCCCATTACCATATAGGTATTGCCATGTCTTATATACATACCTTCCTCCACTCTTAACATGGGATTGTTCTGGTGACATCTGAGCTAAATATTTATATCAGTTGAAGTATTTTCCCATCAGTGGTCTTCATACAAGAGCTTTAATTTAGAAAGGTCTTGTTCCTGCCTAGTTTCACTCTCCCTCAGGTGCTTTTATGGCTCCTTGGTGCATTCACTCCCTCTTTGCCCAGGGCTGTGCAGTGTTGCATAGTTTGCAGATGGTGAGCCAAGAAATTATTGACAAAGCTTGTAAAGACTGTTTTGAAGGAGGGAATTGCATACCTACACAGCTCTAGGCACTGATCCGTGACTTCAGGCATCTAAGCTCTTTCAAGGTTTTGCCCAGGGATGGAGGAAGCTTGTACAGGAGTGGAAACTAAAACTAGATCTTCCAGAATCAAAGCCTTTGTTTGGGTATTGGACTGCACTGGCCCTTCCTGCTGCCTTGGAGTCAGGGGCCTTGAAACCCAGTTTTTGTCAGAAGAAGCTTCCTCTGAGGTCACCAGAGGGGACAGCCTCTGTGTCACATCCAAAGAGATCCTGAGACGGACCTTAAATGCTGACTATGGTTGGGGAGACAAACTGGGAATTGTGGACATGGAAACTGGTGAGTTAATGGTTGTGGGAAGAAACCACACAGGCTTAGCAAGGGGACATGTGCACTCTCCAACACAAGGAATGCCTCTGCCTGGAACCTCAAACACCACCAGAGCAATGAATTGTGCCTGGGACTACCCTGGTTTGAATGTGATGTATGCTCTCTCTCTTTTCCCTGCTTGCTAGGGGGATGTCAGTGAGCTTGGCAAGCTGTTGATGCAAGGTTCCTTCAACGTATGGACTGACCACAAGAAGGGGCACAACAAGGTGAAGGACTTGGCTAGATTCAAACCAATGCAGAGACACCTCTTCCTCTATACAAAGATGCTACTTTTCTGCAAGAAACGGGAGGAGAACACGGATGGCCACGAGAAGACAGCTTCATACAGCTTTAAAAATTCATTAAAGGTAATAAATGCAGTAATGGTGGGGGAGGGAAATAAGTCTGGTGTTCTCACCAACAGGGATGTGTCCATATGGGAATTTGAAGAAGGTGCACATATCTGGAGCTGTTTTGCACCCCTGAATAAATGACAGCTCCCATTTAGTTTTGGGCTGGAGCAAGACCAAGCTATACATCCTGCAACTGCAGATGTGAACCTTGTTCTTTGCAACTTGATACAAAGGGGCACCTTGTGTGATCTTGCCCAGCATCCCATAAAGAGAAGCCAGACTGAATGGACCTGCATCTGTCATTGTTCTGCCTAGGGGCATCCTCCAGGTGCAGTTCTATTGCAAGTTTTACTATTGGCACAGCTGAGCAGACATATTCTGTGGCAGTAACACCTACAGATGAATCAGTGCAGTAGAAGTGCCCTTTTATTTGCAAGAGTGAAATTTCCAGATATGAGTCAGGACATTTTAAGGTGGCAATCACAAGTAGGCCACATTATCCCTCTAAGCACATTGGTGTGACTTTAACCAGCTAACACAGATCATCAAGTGTAATGTTCCAAACTTATTTCAGGGTACCCAGACAGGAATTGTAACAGAACCTGCTTCAAGGCTTGAACCAATTCACATAAACATTTCAAGTTTCTTCCTGTAGAGACAGAAGGAATGGTGGCATAACACTGTCTAAATCTTTAAATTAATGCTGATGTGAATGTGAACAAGAGGCATGAACAAATGCAGTAATAAGATGAGAAGCTGGTTAGTAGCAGCTGAACTTCAAGACTGATTAAGAATTTTTCATTTAAGAAATCTAGAATTTTTTTTCTTCAGGTTTTTTGTGTCTTCTGGATTTTCAGACTGGTCATTAAATCTCACAAAGCCCTATTTCATCCCTCTTTCTCTCCCACCTCAGCAGGTCAGTGACAGCAAGTGAAAAAACATCTTCCTAAAGCTGAAAATTTGTCAAGGTGAACAAGAGCCAGGATGGGGTTGAAAACTGATCCACAGATCAAGCAATAAAAGAAATGAGGATAAATTCAAGATCAGACATTAGCTTGGGTTAATTTTGAACATTCTTTTTCCCTTTAGTAATCAAAAAGATGAACGACAAATTAGATATTAAGAAATAACATGCTCTGAATTTTACTTTTAATGACTCCCAAAGGTGTCAGAAGTGAATGCAGCCTTTTAAAAATGCTTCTCAGAGGATCAAGTTTAAAGACTATTGATATTTTCCAGATTCCAACTTCTTGTTTTCTATTTTGAAACAGATGAGCACTGTGGGCATTACAGAAAATGTAAAAGGGGATAATAAGAAGTTTGAGATCTGGTATAATGGCAGAGAAGAAGTCTATATCATTCAGGTAATGACAATCCTTTTTGTCTCCAAGGGCTTTACTTTCTTTCAATTGAATTGTTTTTAAGAATGTTCACTGTCCTGTATACTCCAGAAACAATAGCCATTGAAAGCTTCATTGTTGAAGCACTTTCCAAGGCACTGAAATGGCTAATTTATTGTGAAAATGGTCAGGATTTTGACCAAAAGAAGAAATAAAGTAATGGAAAATTCCTTGGAATGCTGGACAGAAAAGCAAGGACAGAACTTTGGATTTGTGGTAACTTTTCCACCTTGAGGAGCATCTGCTTTGCTCAAAGCTGGCCACAGTGTTCCAATCCTTGGCAAAACTGAGAGCCAGTGTAGGTCCAGACAGCACAGTGCTTGGCAGCATGTTTTAACTGGATCTGCTTTGCCTTGTCCTCTTTTGTTCTCAGGCATCTTCTGTTGAGCTGAAAAACACCTGGATTTCAGAGATCCGCAAAGTCCTGACAGGACAGCTGGAGGCATGCAGAGGTAGGGCTCACAGAGCAGCAGCTGGGAATGAGTCCTTCCCCCTGTAGCTGTGTGTGACAATATGGGGCTGGGACAGCTCACAGTGCCAGCCAGTACCCCCAGTGAAGCCAGCAAGGACCAGCTGGGCAGTTGCAGCATTGCTGGGGTTTAAAGCCATGTCCTGATCAAAGAAAATTTCTTGGACTTTTATAAGTGACAGGAATAACTATTCCATTCACAGTTAGTCCCAGGAACATGGTTTTCCTCTGTTTCCCTCTCAAGCCACAACTCCAGAAGCATCCTTCTACCTCAGCATGTGAGGAGATGGGGTGTGTTCTCTGTGTCTCCTGGATCAGAAGATCTTCCACATCTGTGACTGGACACAGCAACTGCTCCTCTGTCTTAGTGTTTAATTTATTTTCTTTGGGCTTTGAGGGTTTTTGTTTTAAATCTAGTCACCTCTCACCCTATGTTCTAAATCCCGGTTGTTCCATCTTTCCATCCTAATGACCTCCCTGTAAAACATGGCTCATGACATTTCCCTCTCTCAGAGATGTCACTATGAAGGTTCTTTGTGATGTGTTCAACACTGTGAATGATTGAAGCCTCCTAAGAACCTAAGATAATGACACCCTTTTTTATATAAGATAGTGAATCCCAGACAGACAAAATTCAGTCAGGTTATTTCAGATAGTAAAAGAACATAGTGATGAAAGCTATCATAGATGCTATTCTATTTATTCTCTTAGGACAAAAACCCCCCAGACTTTTCCTGAATCTTGGCATTGCCTCTCACCTTGGTCTGTCATTTTCTGCATCTCTTATACACTTTAAAGCAAGGTCAGCAAAGCCTCTCCACCCACATCCTTTAGATTCCTAAGCAGACTTTGTCCAAGGTGGAAACCTGTGTCTGTGCTTTAACTTTAGAGGTCTTTAATTGCCTGTTTCACAAAGACAATGAGTTCTTGCATCCTCCTTAGGTACAAAGAAACAATTATGAATGTTAACCTCAGCAATTGAATCCAACCCATAACAATACACTTATTTACAATGTTTACTACTCTGGTCTTGTGTTCCTGATCTTGTCTTCATCCTTTATCCTTTTTATTCTGAATTTTACTGTGATTAGTTCACCAGGAACTGCTGAGGAAAGACCTCAAGATTCTTGTTAGTGCAGTTTCGGGACTGGATCTAGAGACTTTCTGATATGGTTTGTAATATTTGCTTCTGAAGTATAAAAGCTGCTTACTTAGGCTACCACAGAGTTGCTAATGGAGAAAAAGTACATATTTAATAGGATAGAGTGCTAGTCCTCTATTTGTGTTTCTAGGCAAAGGAGATTAAGCTTGTATGTTACCCAGATGAGCATTTGTGAAATCTCTATAGCATACAAGACCTATTAGCTGTTAGAGTTGCTTTGCATTTTCCAGAGAAAAATAGAGGAATCAAGACTGATTGAAGCATTGAACATATATTTGGATGTTCTTTATTGTTTTACCCTAAGATTGTACCATTCTAGAATATTTCAGGTTTCAAGGGACCTCAGGACATCACAGTCCAAGGTTCTGCTCAGAGCAGAGTCAGTTATCGGTTAAACAAGGTTACTCAAGACTTTATTCAATCTGGTCTCAAGACCATCCAAGGGTGACTTTCATCCTACTCTATGAATATAGTCAAGCTTTCCTTTACTGGGAATCCAGCAGAACAGCAGTCAGAGGATATAAATTGTATCTCATTTGCTATTGCAACTCTTCCTGTTGCCTGTTCCCAAATGGTCACATGAATCAAACCCCTTACTACAATAACTGGTGTCAGGAAGCACATGCTTTGGCTTGTGGCTTTGAAGTTTCTTTTTTTAATGACTCACAAAAGAAGAGGCCTTAATCCAAGACTGCATATTTTTACAACTGAGCATTGCAATGGGAGAAGGAAGAAGGATATTTGTTTGGCTGTTTTTAATGACTGTTGTTAGGAGTTGCACAGGGGGTTGGAATGTTGGAAGGAACCAGCTGAGGTAAATGAGTGAGGGGCAGAAATGGTGGCCACAGGATGGGATAAATAGTTTAAAATATGGGTCATTCGTGTCCAAACACTCCTTGTGTACCCAGCCCCATCAGACCCTGCAGTGAGCACGGAGTGCTAACGGGGCTTTGGGCAACACCTTGATCCATCAATCCCCAAGGACGCAGCTGTATCCTGCAGGCAAAGGAATTACTGACACAGCTCAAGGGATTTGTGTAAGGCCATGAATCAGTTACCAAACCCAGGAGTGGAGCTACTTCCCACTCCCCATCCAGCATGGGCATTTCTACCCCACCAACAAAGGACTTGAGTTTAAGTCCTTTCAGCACTGCCCCGTGCCCTTGTCACTTCTCTTTCACTGATAAGAGGTTAATCTTTTTCAGAGTGAAATAGCCCAGGGATCTCAGCAATGTGAGAGTTTGAAAGCAGCTCCTCCCGTTGCTTCCTCAGTTCTCAGTGTCTGATTCTCCTGGCCCTGAAATCCAGGCTCTGAGCAACTGTCTTATAATTTTTCTTCACTCAGTGTTTACTGGACAAAGTACAAGTCTGTTGCTACCTTGTGGCCCATCAAAAAGAGTGAACAAGTAGCATATATAACATTTTCTGATTACTTATTGTTTGTCCAGGATGCTGACAAAATCATTCTGCAGAGAGATGGGGATATATTCTGCCATGTGGCTGAGTATGCAAAAGGACTGATGGACATGTGTTGCTAAATCCAGACAAAGCTGTAAGCCACAAAACTTGTATTCTGGGAAAAAGACCATTATGTCCATTCTCTAGATCGATATCATGCAGTTAGCTAGAAAGAGGTATTGAGAAAAGAGAAGGCAATAGGGAAAGAAATGTCTTTTGTGGTGAAAAAATGTGAGTTGTTTGGTGAGCTAAAAGGTTTCATTAAGATCTTAATATGCCTTTCTCTTCGAGTACAAGCATTCAATTTTGATTGCAGTGGCAGTCAAAATCTCTCCTCTCCTGTTTCTCTCTCCCACCTTCTACATAAAAACAGAAGCAATTGAAACATTTTGGAGCAGCTTCTTTTTACTTTTTCTTTAACAGAAGCAAGTCAACTGCACCAAAGAATCACTGAGAGTGTGTATCATGCACCGATGGATTCCTCTAATGCAAGCAGGTAACCACAGCTGCCTTGACATATCAGGGCCATGTTTTGTCTTGCATTTGTGCTTTTGCAGTACATAAATTCATAGGGTTTTGTGTTTAGCTTCCTTCAATTGTCTTCAAATTCTTTAAAGATAAATAAACACAGATAAAGGTTTGCTCAAGAGAGAAGTAATATTACAATGCAGAATTAATTTCAAAGACTAACTCAAATTCAGACGAAAAGTATTGGAACATTTCCAGGATCTTAAATGGAGCAGTCAGCAAAGTTTTGTAATAACCCAGTTGCTGGGCAAGTTTAATGTAAGTTGCCATGGGATTTCACTGTAAAATTTTAGCAGGATCAACCAAGCCAGGAGATCCCAGGTAACAGCCAGCCTTTGAGAATTGTACAACTCAATGCAAGAAATATTAAACAGATGTAGTGCTATTAATCCTGCACCATATTTTCTCTAGGCTTGGTTAATTTGCTTTTTTAGGGTTCAAGGGTGGAAATCTTTCAGCAGAACCACCTTGAGGATAGAAGAAAAATATTCCAGTAAGATATGAAGTCCAATCACAAAAATGTTTCAGAAGAATCCAGATGTGTGTCCTTCTTATAAGGCTCTTAAAGTGAGATTTTCCAGAGCAGAAATTATAGACCAAATACGTCAGCAGAAAATTAACTCCAGGAAGAAATGCCATGTGATCAGCTATTTGTCCTAGAGTGGATTAAACCAAAGGAAAAATGAAGTGTTTGTTGTCCTCACTCTGGCAGCTGTGCCAAAAAAGGAGAGGTCAGATGCTCCTGCTCCAAATGCTGGATTATTATAGGAACAGGAAGAATACAGTGAGTCTTCATGAATGATGCTTCATGAAAGATGCTTCAGTGAGTCTTCATGAAACAATGCTCTGGGCTGTGATGAATGGCACAAAGTTTGTTATCTGTAATGTATATCCCCAAGATAAGCTAGGGCAGCAGAATTGCAGCATCAAGCACAGTCTGTGCTCGTGGCTGACATGACCAAGCAGCCCCAGCTGTGAGAGGTGCTGGAGGCCAGTGGAGACAGCATTTGATAAAGAGCAGCCAGCACCACCAGTGCTCTGCCAGCAGAAGGAGGCTGATTAATCACTGACATGTTATCTACCCAACAAACACCTACTCCAGGCTGCCCATGTGTGACAGTGACTCTGCTGTTTGTTGGGAATTGTCAAACCTCTGCTGTGACACTGGGGAAATCTGTTTGCAGGATGCTTTCCCCTCTCCAAGCTGTATCTGTCCCATGACAAAGACTATCCCCTTTACTGTTTTCATGCCACCAACATCACTTGGGACTGCAATTCCATGAAATAAGGCATGCCTGAATTGGGATTGTAGCTGAGGTGTTGGGAAAAGGGACACTTAGAGCCAGTGTCCTTAATACAGGCAGCTATTGAGTGTCCCTAAGTCCTGTTCAATCTATTTCAATTCTCTCTCTCTCTCTATCCAAGTTCTTCCACAAAGTTCACTGTTCAATCCAAAAATGGGATGCCCTGTGGTATCTATTGCTGCTGTATCTCTCTCAAGGGATGGCTGCTGCATTTAACTGATAATGAAATGATCCTTTTGTATTGTTTTCTAATCTATTTAAACACATGAAACTTATATAATCTATTGTTCTAACTGCTTAACTATCTGCTTTGTTGGAAATGACTGATGCAGTCATACATCCATGTAAAAATATCCCGTGAACATGGATAAACACAAACTCTTGGAATTTGGCTGCAGATGCCGTTTCAGAAAAGCTCGTGTATTTTCTTGGTGTCTTTCTCACAGCTGTAAATCTTTAACTCTGTCAGCTGCATGTTTCACAGTTATCCCAGCCTAGCTGGGAAGAAAGAGAGGAAAAAGAATAAGGAAATGTGAGTGTGCTTTGGATTTGTTCCCATGTTTATTTTGAGCCCCATTTTGTACCCGACATTAGGCTGCAAAATCACATTTTGATTTAGTACAGGAGGTAACAGAGACCTTGCTAAGATTCCATCAGAAACAGGTCAGAAGTTCAAATGCAAAACAATGAGTCCTGGACTGCCTTATGTTTAGAAAAGGTATTTACAAATCTCTAGTATTTAAAATGTTTTTAAATTGTTAATGATATCTTGGACCTTCCCTTACAGCAGAACGAGCCCTGTGAATGTTAAGTGTAGCAGTTCACATGTTAATTGCAAGCAGCAGTTTAATTGCTGATACATGTCAATAACAAGAACTTTGGCAAAGAGTATTTCAAATGTGTAGATACAATGATTTGTGTGGAGCAGTCTGCCAAAGATAACAGTCAAACACCCAAATTAAACCACCAGACATTTGCAAAGAACCACAAGAAAACCTTGCAGCTTGAATGTCCTACAAACCAGGGACAGGGGGGTCCATCCCATCACCCAAGGCCAGTGCCTGGGCAGGTTTGTCAAGGTGGATCCTCCCATTTGTGATTCAGCTGCAGACAAGGATATCCCACTGGGATTCATGCTGCAAAGAGCAGAAGAAACAGAAGTTGGGGAAGCCAATAGAATTCATATGTTGCTTATGCATGGTATGACCTCTGCATAACCATCCATTATCCCTTTGTCTCCTGGAGACAAATGTATTTATGCTGCAAAGGAAGGAAAATCTGGGTTGCCTTTTCTTACCTGGCTTCCCACTCCAACCCTTTCAAATCTGCTGCACTTGCAAAAAGAACTTGTGCAGACAACCAGCTTGTTTCTCCATTTTTCCCTTCTCAACTCTGATGAAACACATCATTCACTGTGTGGTGTGGAGAGGAGGCAGGATGGGTTTTCCCCAACACACATGCCTGCACAGATGCAGGCTTTTATAGCACACAGCATTTTAAAACCAGCCCTTTGTTCCTTAGGCTTCCATGTCTGAGGGTAAAAAAGAATGCTTAGTATTCAGTGCTTTATTAGATGTTTACCAGGAATGTTACTATTTTTGTATTTCTTTTGTCCCAAGGTATAGCAGGAAGTCATCAAGTATATATGAAAACAAATCTGAGACATCAAATGTGGATGCATCAAACAATAAAAACAGGAATTCCAGTCCCAGTGCCAGACAAAAGAGAGGTAGGAATTCTCACAGAGATTTTGCTTCTAAAGGGTAATATTTTTATGTTTGCACATATTTCTGGAGTTTGATGAGGATACTTTAAATCTACATTGTTTTAACCCAACATCCAAAAAAAAAAAAAAAAGCTACAAAGTTGAATGACTGTTCCATGAAAATTTGTGAGCACCAAAAGACATTACCGGTTTAGGGTTTTTAAGTCTGAGTTTTGATGGTTTATAGTGCTCTTTATACAACTTATGTTGTTTGAAAATAGAACTTAGGGGACAATAGCATATATGTTTTAACCTTCTGCATCCTGGTGAAGTTAACTTCTAGACATACTTAATCTATTTTTTTTTCTACAGACTTTACTAACTGATTTCTTTGTTTAAGTCAAGGACAGTTTTTTGCCTCCTCTGTGTATATCAGTTCTCCTCAGGTGTACAGTAAATAAACCCACAGGCAGTCACAGAAAGTCCCTCCATTATTTGAGGCCATAAGTACAACAGATCTTCTATACAACAGAAGTTAAAATAAACACTATAAAGAAACAGAATCTCATCTGACAGCAGGAAGAGAAAATCTTTTGATAGCAGTTTCTCTTTTAGGCAGTATTTCTTTATGTTGAACAAAGAATTTTCTACTAATATGAAAAAAGAAAACTGTGAGGTCTTAAGACATTAATGCCCAAATGAGGCATAAAGTGGCAGCCCCTTTATAAATAAAGATATTTAAAAAGAAAATTGAATATCTCTGTTGGAAAAATAGGCTATTCACCAAAAGATTTTTAATTGCATTAGGTTTTCATGCTGGGAAAAAAAGTTTTGGCTTCTTCATTAAGAAACCCGATCTTACATTTTTTTTCAGTAAAATTTTATTTTTAAAACATTTAGACTTTTTTCCTGATTCAAGAAGTGGAAAAGGGGCTTTTCCTTTTAAACTTATAAACCCCTTTAAAAAAAAGAAATCCAGGGAGATTACTGATGGTTTCTAACTGTCCAGCTTACTGAAGAGTGTGGGATGTGGGAACAGGGCTCACATTCCTGCTGATTGTCATTCTTCTGTCTTCTGCTTTCCCATGAGCAGCTCCTCAGGGCTCTGGCTGGGATCCCACCGGCTCAGCCCAGAGCATCCTCGTCCTCTGGTGGGTGGCTCTTCCTGCAGGGCTGGCAGTGAGTCCATTCTTTGGTGATTCGAGTGTCCTGTGCATCCTGAGCTGCACACCTCGCTCTGCAGAGCCGGCAAAATGCCCTCCAGCTCCAGATGTCCCACCAAAACTCGAGTTTGTGTCCCTGTAAGGCACCTACGGCTGGGGCTCTGCAAGGGGCTGAACCCAAAAATGTCCCAACACCCGGCACAGAGCCTGGGGCTCTGCCAAAACTGTCTCTTTTGTGCCACCTACTGCTTGTAAAATGCTTCCAATATCGGTGCAGTTAATGTGAACACCGATTATTTTAAAATACTGGGGAGTTTCTGCAGTACAGAAGTGGAGGGTACTATTGACAAGCTATTTCAGTTTTGTTATTCTTATTGATAAGTGGCTGTGGCAGAGTTTTCTACATGTAAACCAGTGTGGACCTGACTGGTGGAGTCACTGCCTTGAGATAAAACAGGAGCAAATCCTGCAGGAACCTCTGGGGACTCCCATGTCTGACTGCCCTGCTCGAAGCAGGGTCAGCTGCAGCAAGCTGCTCACAGCCATGTCCATTTAGGTTCTGAACAGCTCCAAGGATGGTGACTCCATAATTTGCCATGGGGACACTGTCCTAGGCTTAACCCCTTCCACAGTAAAAAGGGTTTCTCACATTTTTAAATGGAATTTCCCATATTTCAATCTGTGCCCATTGCCTCTCTCATCCTTTCACTGGGCTCCACTTAGAAGCATCTGGCTCCATCTTCTTTCTAACATCCTCTTGAATATTTTGTTCTCCAGGCTGTGCAATCACAGCTCTTTCACTCTCCTCATGTCAGCTACTACAATCCCTTAATGATCTTCATGGCATCTCACTGGATTTTCACTGGAGTATGCCCATGTCCTGAGGAGCCCAGGAGGGTGTCTCTTGTGCTGAGGGGAAATGTCACCTCCCTGGAGCTGCTGGCACAGCTCTGTCTGATGCAGCCCAAGATGCTGTTGGCTTTCTTTGCCACAAGTATGCATTGCAGGCTCTCTGCAATGCATACTTGTGGCAAAGTATGCATACTTGTTCAACCTGCTGCCCATCCAAGACCTGGTTCTTATTATGTTTGGAAGTAATTTCCAGGGTTATTTGGTATACCTGCAATATGAAGGAAAAGGTTTGAATGACTGAGGTGGAAACAACATGACTTTAGAGACCAATGCTTTGCTGGTGCAGAAAGGCAGTGGGTGCTTGTGAAATGCAAAGGGGTCCCTCAGTGAAGTGATTCAATTGCAGAGCTGAAGAACACAGGAGCCCACCCCTCTGCACCTGCACTCTTGTACTCCCTGTGGGACTCTCTGATAATTAAATGCTCTGGATTTTCTTGCCCTAAGAAATCAGGAAGTAAATATATTTGACATACCAGTTTTAAATTCTTTATAAGCTACGGTATTTGTACAAAGATTGCCTGGCAATGGGAGCAGCCATGGCAGGGAATGGCCAACACAGGCTGTTTGGAAGCCAAAGGCAGCCAAAGCTGAAGCTGCTGCTCGGGAGCAGCTCCTCACCAGATCACCTGCCTGGCCCAGAGCTGGCACTGGGTAGAAGGAGCTCAACCACAGTGACATAATTCTTCTGTTCCTCTGTTCCTGTCACACTCACCTATGCATGCAGGCACCTCGGATCCTGGACTATCTTGGCTGCAAATCAGGAAGTGATGGGATGCACTTTCCTTGGGAAGCACAGCTTATTTGTCTATTTCTTGTCTGTCAGTGTGGATTCACTGTCTCTCTGTGTTCCCTTTGTACTTTTGGTCTTCATTTGTCCCTCTAAGGATTTTATGTGACAGAGGAGGAAAATCTATTGGTTAAATCCCAAGGTTCAGAAGCAGGCACCCAACACATGGTTTTTCTCCTGCTCCTTTGCCATAAACCTTGTGGGTGTTATCTGCCCACACCAAGAAAGGAGCAGATGGAGGATTTGGCAGGAATGTGTGGATATGGGGGTTTGATCTAGGTCCACCTGTTTCCTGCAATGTGAGTAACTGAGTATCTTTCAAGCTCAGAGCCTCAGGACCTCGATCCATCTGTGACTGATCTCTGCAGAGGCAGCTGTCAGACAGCATGGCTGATTATTCATGCAGGAGCCTGGCATGTGAGCTTTGCTGGCATGGCATCCTTACATCCCAGCAAATCAGGAGATCAATTGCATGACTCTCTGCAAGCTTCAGAGGCTTTAGAAAGGTTTCAGCAGGTAAGGCTGAAGGTGTACCAGCCACAGGGCTGGTGAGGGCAGTCTCTTCAGTGGCAGTGCTGGATTGCAGAAGTGGGACTGCTCCCAACAATTGCATGTCCTACACTGCAAGGCTTCTTCTCTTGTTTCTCCCTACAACTCAGTGCTCCAACCAATGATGTGTTTCCATAACAGAAGGCACTAGCTTGCTGCTAAATTGTATTTTCCTTTGATGAGAGCTACCTCCCTTCACCTGTTATTCTTTGGTTTTGTTTTGTTGTTTTCTCCATTAAAACTCAGTGAGCCAAACTCAACCCAGGGGCTCTGTTTGGTTCAGCTGGTTTTCTCACCCTGACCTCATGTCACCTTTCTGATTGATTAGCTCTTGCTCAGGCTTGAACTGAATCAAAATTTATTGATTTCTTTTTAGTTGTCATCCAGTGCTAACCTTTCCTTTGCCATAAGCTGAACAGCTGTCCCTTCCTTCCTTATTTCTCTTCCCTCTCCCTCTCTCTCCTAGTTGATGCTTCCAGCAGCCTTAACCTTGAGCGCACAGCGCTTGCTAGAAAGCGATTCACATTGCAAGGTCTTTCCAACCGCAGAGCTCCACCCAAAGGTAAAATCACCCATGCAGCATTTGGTCTCAGGCCATCTGTCTCCTGCACTCCCACAATGTTCTCTCCATCCCATGGTGCCATCCATCACCGTTTCCTAAAGTGCTGCTGCATCTCACCCAAACGCTCCTTTCTGGTGCACACAAGTGGCTCCTCTGCTCAAAGACACCGTCACCAAAACTTGCTCCCAGAGCAGCACTGGCAAGGCAGCCTCTGGGCTGGCTGGCTGGGTCTTTTACTGGAGCACAGTGCAAATAACATTTGTTTCCAGTTTCTCTCAAGGGTCAAAGTGTGAACTGGTTTTAAGTGATCAACTCAACTTCTTTCAGCAGCTTACAGGCTTGAAGAAAAAGAGTATCACATCTGTTGTGCTACATGAGATTTTCATGTGTGAAATCATTCATTGGTTGGAAGTCTTTGTTTTTTCAAATATTGTTCAGCTGTGGCCTAGTGGGGAACCAGAATTCAGGAGATCTGGGGTTTTATTCCACTTAATTATGTTATATGACACTGTAAAATGCTCTGTTTTGGGTATTTGTGCATAAATGTTTAGTAGATATCCGTGAACAGAGAGCATTGCAAGTTCCTGTGAAAGCTGTACAGGGAAGAGACTTTAGAGGAAAGAAAGAAATGTGAATAGAAATTAAATTGAATGACTAATTTCAATCACTTTCTGAAAATATACTGTAATTACTCCCTTTATTGTTTTTGTGTGGCTTTTCTCCTGTTCTGATAAATAATATTTCCTCTGTGAGACAAAGGGTTAGTATGCAGTGATGGGAGAGGGTGAGCATCAAAGGAGGAAGAACCAAGATGAAAGCATAGAAGCAGAAATACAGAAGCATTAAATTATAATGTGATCAAGTAGATAAGAAAGGCACCAAGAGTCAGCACTGCTGTAAGATTCTGGCTACAAGATTAAGGTTTCATGTGGTAGTGAGATCCAAGATGTACAAACAAAGTTCAATGCCTGAATATAAAAATAAGTGTATTTTAAATCTTGTGACTCAAGAAAATCAATGACAGAACACAACTTTCAGAAATAATTCCTTAATTTTTGTGAGTCTAGATTTACAATTTTGTTTGGAGCCTCTTTTACTTTTTATTCTGAGTTTTTCTTGTCATTTGAAGTGTCTTGCCTTGCATTCAGTGTTCCAGGCAGTGAAGCACAGCTCGGAAGAGCTCAGCTGTAGGTGCTCTGAGTTCAAAGCCTTGCTGGGTCTGGTTACTTGACATTCCTGTGGAACACCTCTTGCACAATGTCCTGCTTCACTTTGTGGGGCTGACCTGCTCCTGGCCAGAGGGAACTGCTGGCAGGCAGGCTGGCTGGCCGTGGTCGTGGCCACAGGAAAAGCCTCTCAGCACTGCACGGGCTGGCTGCTGAGGCAGGTTGGAAGCTGGGAGAAGGGAACAGGGAAGTGTCTGCAATCAGCTTGTCCTGCTCCTCAACACTTTGTCTAAAGGTTTTTGTTTTGTTTTGGCCATGGTGAAGGATGGTGTGTTGAGCTGAGTGTACTTTGGTTCAGGTTTGCTGTGTTTGCTCCTGTCCAGAGCACATAAAAATGAAGGTCTAAACAATATAATACCCCAACTAACTAGGGTGGAAACAAGATTGGGTATCAACTGCCAGTGGAGCATGGATTCTCAGAGAAATACTGAATTGTCTACCCAGGCTGGATATGACAGGCAGGAAAAATGTTGCATATAATCACTTTGGTGTTTTAGTTAAAGAAATGCTGATGTCTGGAGAAGAAACTTCAGCACCCTGCACTCCATCAGAGCAGAGATCTCTGGGGCAGACGTCCCAGGGCTGGCACCAAAGTGTATCCAAGTCCACACTCAAAGCACCCTGCATCTCCCCACCCTTGGGTCAGCATTACCATCCTGGTTTGTAGAGCCAAGTTCATATTCCTTGGGGTGGGCACAACTTCAGCACATCTCATAGTGAAATGTGGGGAGTCGTTGTCTTTACTCCTGAGCAAACTTAGAGAAAAGGCAGGATGCTAAATAAGGAAACAAAAAACCACTATGTAGCCTTCACTTTCTCCAAGCTGGTTTGCACTGGTAAAGACAGAAACTCAGAGATTATTTTCAGGCATTCGCACAGTTAAATTTTAGAAATGACAAATGTGAACTCCAAACCATCATTTATGCTTGTTTTTCAGTGTATTTCAAGTCAGTCATCACAGAACAAGCAGTTCAGTGTCTAAAATGATCCAAACCTCATCTGTAGATGCACGCCCCATTCCAGCCATCATGCTCATTTCTCTGTGTTTTGTAGCTGTACTTGGACACTACAGTTGGTTTTTAGTTGGTTGCTAAACTAATAATTGGCATGGCTCTTTTCTGAAGTATTAAAATTGGTGCAATTGGAAATGCTTTGAAAATATGTTCATACTAACACATTCTGTGCTTTTCACCTTGTTGAGGGTATTTTTTCTCTGTTTTAGAGGAGCAACCTTTCTTTTCTTTACCCTTTTCCAGCTGCTGCTTTGCTTTGAACATCTTTTACCCCCAGTGCTTATTAACCTCTAACCCTGCCCTGCATTGCATCTGTCTGTTCTCCCAGATCCAGAGTCTAAGGACAGAGAAGTTACCCGTCGCTTTTCCCTAGCCTCCTCCATCAGCACCACAGTTAATGCTTCTGCTGCCACCAAAGGTACTGTCCTGCTGCTTGCTCAGCTCCCCCTCTCCCTGCCTGCTGCCTGGCACATTCACTGCCAAATGCTGCTCACAGAGTGAGCGCCTCAGCCTCGGTTTTTGCAAAGGCAGTAGAAGAGTCTTCTTCCAGTAGAAGAGTCAGCACCAGTGTAGCAACTGCAGGGAGGCAGGCCAGGATATTTTGAATGTGTATTAAGGTGTGCTGTCAGCACACAGAGTGACTCTTCCCAGTTTCTCCATTGTAGGCTTCAAAAAATGTTGCTGGTGTCCATGAAAATTGGATTAAATTTTGGCTGATGTAGGGTTTCCAGTAGCATTGTGGGCACATAAGCCTACATATCAGGGATAATTTTGACAACAGAACATATGGTTTTACATGGAATTCTGAATATACTACCTTTTGGCAGTTCCTGGAGTGGACTGGAGGAACTGATTTGCAAGGTTAAGATTTTCAGGGCAATTCACAAATCAAAATAGAAGCCAAAAGGGCAGAATCAATTTTTTACAAAAATCTTTGCTCTATACTTGCCAGGAAGAAGGTTGCTCAGTGTCTGTTGCCTTCTCAACAGCTGTGAAGGATATGAGCCTCATTCCTGGCTGCAATGAGGCTGTCAGGGAATGAGGGCACAGTGGGGTTGATGGGCCAAGGAAGGATGTGATAGTCTCACTACCTAAAAATGTTTCTTTGACAGCACCTTTAGACCACAGCACTAGAACCTCCTCACATGGAAGTGATGGGCATAGCACATGAGAAGAAGTTATTACAGCTTTTTGCCCTCAGCAACAACTCAGAAATACATGATCAGTTGCTAAATTGTGGGAAGACTGAGTTATTTCCTAATAATTCTTTTCAAAGCTGGGGAACATAAAGAAGCACATATCTACAAAGAAAATGGGCAACCAAGGGTTGCTCTTTAGTGTGGTGTATCAAAGAGAGCATGTGTGAATTGCAATGAAAGTTAAAAATTGTTACAGTTTCATATCAAAAAAGTCCTATCCTAGAATCCTGTCTGCCAAAAGACTGTTGGCAATCTCTTGGGATACTGAGAAAGCTACTTCTGCAATGATTTTCAAAGCTCAAAAACAGAATCAGTGCTTTTCAATTAAGTTTTTTTGTTACAGCATCTGCTCTAAGAAAATATTTCAGATGACAAAATAAGTGAAGCCTGAGTCTTGTCTCAGCATCAGCCCAGATGCAGACCTAGCCAGCGTGTTGTGGTCATCACTTCTGAGGCTGCAGCTGCTGCTGTGTCTGACCCTCCCTCCTGACAGTTCAGCTCCCCCCACATCTGCAGTCGGGCACAGGAGAGGGGCTGCACACAGACCTGTGGCTGGTGTCCCCCACTTCTGTGGGTCAGAATTGTTGGCTTTGTGAGCTGTGTCCTGCCAGGCTCACGGCTGAAGGCTGGGACTGTGGGTCTGCTGCCTTAGTGCCATCTCCTGGGCAAGAGAGAGAGGCAACATCTGTGAGACTCGAAGGGAAGCAGATTCTTTTGTTGTGATGTCTCCATGTCTTTTGACAAAAGGGGTCTGCTCCCTATCCACTTCACAGAAGTGTGTATCTTCACCACCTAGAACCCAGGGGTTGGTCATTCTTCTGGGTGAAATTAAAAGTGTTAGGTAGTTAGTGTTTTTAGGTGGTAGGAAAGCAAGTTTCTTCTTTAACACTATTTACAGCCTTGTGACTCTATAAACTCCACACAGGTCCCCTTGTTCCTGCAGTTAAAGTCAAGAGACATGAAATAAAGAGTGACCCAACTCCCCTGGGGTTTGAAGGTAGGAGTATTTCCATCCTGCATGAAAACCTCATTTGATATTATTCACTGAACTCACATCTCATCACAGCTGGTGGGTGACACTGGAGTCCATTAGGGGCTTGGGGTCAGTTTATCTGCATAACTGGGTTAAAGGCAGCTTGTTACCCCCTTGCCTGTCCCCTGCACTCATATTCACCTAGGCACGGGCCTGAATTAAATTCCCAGTTCTCTGCCTGTTTGGGAAATAAAGCTCTAGACTGTCACCTGGATCTGGATTTTCTGCCTGGCTGTGCCTCCTTCCATAGGGAGCAGCAGCAGGGAGCCAAGGGGCTCCTTTTCACCTCCACCTGCAGTCTGGCCACTTCCATCCCTCTTCCCTTGTTGGTGTCTACTCTTAATGAGAGGAGCAGGAGCTACGTGCATAAAGACTACAGGGGAGGCTAGACTGTGTATTAATAGCCATTTCAGGTGCAGTGTTTCATTTCAGACAAGCAGAATTTCCACCAATTTGTTGCAGCAGATTAATAAATTGATATTTAATAAACAGTACCAAATAGTTAAATTGGGATGCTGTTCCTCAGCCACTGGAAGATCACCAGCTTCTATTGTTAGCCTTCCCCTTCCCCAGACCATTTGCCTTAGGGGGACATAAGGAGCCAGGTACCTCTGCTGCAGGACAGGCAGAAGAGAGATGTGTTCTGAGGACTCCTTTCATAGCATTGTGTTGTTCTGCACAAAAACTTGGTAGGAAGAGCCAGTGAACAGGTCAGTGATGGAACTGGTCAAATATCAGAGCTATCCCCCATGGCACTCCCAGCAGAAGAGGAACAGAGAGGTTGGAAGAAACAATTTAGAGACAGCAGAAGTAGTTTTGCTGTTTGCAAAATATTTCCTTTTGCCAGTGACCCCTGACAGTATGTTTTGAACCATCCTGGCACCCAGCACCACTCAAAGTGTGGGGTTTATTCCTTGCTTCCCTCACTGACAGATGGCCTGATCTCAGCATCCCCTGTGGCTGCAGGGGCAGAGGGGATTTCAAGGTGCAAGAGCTATCTGCAGCATAGAACTGACTTGCTCCTCACAGGTTACAAACAAGGTACTGCTGCACAGTATCTTTAAGTAGGAAACAATGAACATTATCACTCCTTTACCAGAAGATATTGCTGCTATTGCCAGGGCTCTGACTGAGGTAATAACACAAGGGACTCCCCCGCCCCCAAAATCCTGTTGCATTCATCAAGGGTGAAATCATTAATTTCTGGTCTCCCTGGTCCCCTTTTGCTGCTGTATGGGTTAGGATCAAAACCATGAATTATCACCTACAAAATCATTTGAAAAGCTGCAAGGAAAATATGTTTAAAAATGGGTAAAGAAGCTGTAATGAAATAGAACATTGCACTGTTCACTCAGGAATTGTCTTCCTTAATTAACATCAATACTTCTGTTTGATTCATTTCACTGTTCTCTGTCCTTCTCAGACTTACAGTTTTTCTGTGGAATGCTGCTGTCCTTTCACTCATTTGTGCTGGTCATGTGTCTCCTCTTTTATAACTGTTGGACCCCAGTCCACCTGTTTGTTAAAGAGACTGTCAGTTGCAGAGGTGATGCAGGAATTCACTTTGTACTGGTTGTCTGGTCACTATTTCACCTTGAAGACACAAATTGTACTTCCTGTCACAGATGCTTTTGAGAACACCATTTTGGCCCAGACTAAATGTAATGCCGGTTCCACCACGAGATCCGTACCTAGATCTGCTTCACAGACAGGTAAACAAAATTAAAGTATTTGTAAACTCAATTTGAGAGTGCAAACTAAATTTATGATGATATTTACTCTCTTTATTAAAAGGAGAGTTTTCTCTTTTGGTGAATATTATTTCCCATCAAAACAATGAAAGAACAAGCTTGGATCACAAGCTTAGAAACAATGCCCCAGATTCTGGTTTTCTGAGGTCAGGCTGAAAATAATTATTTTAATTGAAAGCAAGAGAGCTCAGAATTTGATATCTTATTTTATAAGAATTAAGCATGAGAAACAAATTGTTTCTTAGTCTCTGAAATTAGAATAGTGATTTGTATGGAAGAGGGAGACTAATGCATGTATTTGTAAGGAATTCTTGCTGGTGAGGTTTCTAAATGACAGTGACAAAAGACTGTGGAAGTTTTGTCTGATGGGGTAGAGAGATATATTTTTCTCTTGGTGTTTGTAGTCCAGTCTGTGAATTTGAACTAAAATTGCAGCAGCAGTTTGAAGTGAATTAGAATCAGGATATTCTTGTATGTTTAGACCCTTGCTAGTATTGCTGGTGTGAATAAACTGGTACAGGACAGTGTCACTTCAGAGGCTGGTTTACACCTTTAAAAGCACAGATGACCAGACCATATCTGTGGGGGCATAGCTGGGGATGCAGCTGTGCTGGAAGAAGGTCCCTGTGTCCCTTGAAACTGGGTTGCAGTTGTTGGAGCAGACAGTCCCTGGGTGGCAGAAGGGGCTGCAGAGCTGCATGACCATGTGTTGCACCAACCAGTGCTTATAGCAGGGAGGATGTGAATGGGGAGGGATTAAATAAACCAATTAATAAACCTGTTTCTCCCAGATCAGGTCACTTTTCTGTTTACTGCCTGAACTGCCTGGCTTGCGTTTTGTATTGCCTCAGGCCATGGTTTGGTGTAGGTTGAGTGTGCTGGGATGTGCATAACCCCAGTGTTTGAGCATCTGTCTCCATGCCTTGTGGTCAGAGCTTCACTTTGTTGAGAGCAGTGGCCCACAGGATGTAAAGAACTTGGTTCAGCATCTGTTCAACCCAAGTCCCTGTGAATCAGCTAATGCCCAGCAGGTACACTAATTAGGAAGGCACATGGTAAATTGACTGACTGCATTCAGCTTGTATCTGTCAGGGCTGCAGAATCATTTGGTAGATGCAAGGTCTGTTTCCTCTGAGCTGGACTGTAGTAATTCCCATTCCACCAGAAAAGGGACAAGCATCAAGTGCAGGAAAGTGCAGACGATGATTGCCATCTGCACAAAAGAGCCTGAGCTACTTTTGCACCATGGCAGCCTCAGGCAGAGAGGTCTCATAAGGCTCTGCCTCAGTTTCCCTAAGGATACGTCCTATGGACCTTCCTTTCTAGGTGAAGCGAGACTGGCTGTTGAGCTTGAGCTGGAAATCTCTCGCTGAGTCCATTCCACTGGGTTGGGGTGGTTCTGGTGAAAATCATGCAGTGAGACAGGTAACAGCACAAATATGACTGAGATCTCTCCTCACCCCCCTGGCTGTCTTTGTGCCTTGCTGTTTCCTCTGTGCCGTCCCTGCACTTGCAGCCTGCTCCAGCATATAGTCTTGTAAATTCCTCAGGTAGCAATATCACCTTGGGGTGAGATGGAGATAAGAAGTCAACAAAAATTCCATGGCTTTGTACTTAAACATGTGGAGGTAAGCTGGAAACTGAATCATCATGGCCTTCTGAAAGTCATGTCAGCACAAGTTACCATTTGTTGGAAGATTCCTGGTCCTTGTTTTTTTGTACCTCCTGAGCTGAAGGGATTGAGCAGTGCTGAGCACTGGAAATATCCATGGGTGTGAATGCTGCAGCCACACACACTGCTCTCACACCAGGGACAGTGAGTGGTGCAGGCTTTTAGAGACAGAATAATCGCTGTGACATAATTTTTATGGCAAAACCATGAAATAAGCTATAAAAAAGTACCAGCAATTTGGTAAGTGGAAGAATGGGAAGTGAACCTGTGACATTTATTTTACAGACTGATTATCAAAGAGTCTAATGTCTGATAGCTAACTCTTTCTGGTTTATGTCTTTTGAAAAGGTTGGCCCAGCAGACAAATGCCTTCTCTAGACACATTTGAAGATTTTGAAGCCATCCCTTCCAGCATGGATGAACTCTCCAACTCTTCTGATTTGGAGGAAGAGACCAACCCTAACAATGTAATTGCTTTTTAAAATTACACTGCCCTTTCCCAGCACAACTTCCTTCTCTTTAAGGATCACAATGTAACCTGTAAAGTTTGGGTTCATACTAGCTTAAATCCATGGATGTGTGGGAATACAGTAAATGGAAATTTCATCTGGGGTGTTGGAAGATTATTACAAGATTTTGTTGATCAGGATGAGGATCGTAACATGTCACCCATACTTGTAAGCTGTCACTTTGCCTGCTACAAAAGTGAAGGAAAACTCTGAGTCTTTAAAAAAGTAATTTCACACTTTTCCAGATAACTTCGCCTGGTGTCACAAACACAATTTTTATATCAGAATAATGGCTGGTGGGTTAAGCCTAAAGTCTAAATGCAGAGAACAGATCTATCCAAATTTTGAGTAATATTTAACCTGGGCATGATAAAACACAATTGCCTACAGAAGAAATATCTGCCAGCCTGAAATACCTAATTCAGTATTTAACTAAAACCTCTTGCACAGGGTTCTTTCATCCATAGTGATTGTTTCTGGTGCCTTGTTTCTTTCATTTTAGGGGAGCAATCTCTTCCGGGTCGAAGGCAGCTTTGACAGCTGTTTCCCAGATTCTCTTACTCTTGAGGATGGAGATTTAGTGCAGTTTGTGCAGGAAGGAGAGAATGGCCAATGGTGAGTATGGCAGAGAGAGAGAACTGGACAGCTGGGACAGCCAGAACCTCCTGGAAAAGATGGAAATATAGGTTGGATAGTAGGGAACAGTTTTTGATGGAAAAAGTGATAAAGTACTGGAATGGTCTGCCCAGGGAGGTGGGGAGCCACCATCCCTGGATGTGTTTTAAAAAAGACTGGATGTGGTACTGGGTGCCAGGGTTTAGCTGAGGTGTTAGGGCTGGGTTGGACTCAGTGATCTTGAAGGTCGCTTCCAACACAGTGATTCTGTATGGATACCTCTAGGACTGCCCTGGGCCCTCTGCCTTCTTCCCTAGTTCAGGAAATAATAGCCCAACATGCACCTCTAAGAAACACAACCCAGGGAAGAGAAATGTAGGAAAATTCACTGACTGTTCTCTGAGTTTCAGGTTAGTGAAGAAACTGGTCTCTGAGAAAAGCGACTGGGTTCCCTCCAGCATATTGCAGCCAGCAGAGGGGGACAGTAACAGCATAATTAAGAGCAGCAATGCAGGTAATAGAGAAAATGTGTTACTGGTTTGTTTGTTTTCTTCTTCATACTGAAAAAGAATGTGATAGCAAAAATAAATGTGATAAAAAGTGCACTTCTGTGTTGAAGTACTCATCTGAGTGCATGTCTGTGCTGCAGTCTCTGGTGACATGGCTGAGCTAACCTGAAATTTGGTGCCTGGGTGTCAGAGTTACTCAGGCACAGCAGCGTTCCTTGGCCTGGCTTAATTGTTTTCCCCTATCTGAGCAGAACTTGAATCTCCCATCCAACTTCTATGGCTACCAGAACTCAGGCTGGCTGCTTTACAGTGAGCCCAAGTGTCTCATACACAGGGTGTGTCTGCAGGACAGCTTTGATCCTGGCATGGACAGACTTTGGATGGAGACCAGCATCAGGGCTGTGCTTCTGGCATAGATTTGAAAACATTAAAATTTCATGAACCATTACTGCCTTCATCATATTTCACAGCTGGCTCCAAAAGCTGCAGGAAGGGCTGCTCTGGCAAGATTTCAGCCAAATCAGCACTAAAAGTCATCCAGTCACAGCTTTGGTTCTGACCTAACACCCAAACAGGTTGCACTGGAAAAGCTGAATCTGAGCAACTCTGAAGATCAAAGGTTTACAATTCAGACTAATATTTGTCCATCCTTAAATATAATTTACCAAATGTGTCCTGCTTTTCTTCTGGTAGCAGAAGAAAGCAAAATCTGGCACAGCCATTCCCTGGGGATCTGTGATAGAGAGCTAGCAGCACTTTATTCTGAGTTACTGATCTCTTTTGATTTTTTTGGTCAGTTTGTTTAAATGAAGGAAATCCTTTTTCAACCTCAGGATTCTTTGCTGTGGTGTAAAGGGAGTTTGGTAATTGCTGCTCCTTCACCTCACCAACCCAACAATGGCTCTCCTTTCACTGGCATGTCCTGTGATTCAAAATAAAAATAAAGCCAGGCACACATTACAGTTACACACCATTTCACCAGTTACACCCTTGACTTTTGTGAAGGAATTAGGAGAGCAGTAGAATTGTGATTTTATGTTTTATTTTATTCCAGGCTTTTAACAAAGAACCTTGAGACTGTAGATGAAAGATCCTATAGACATATTGCAGTGACAATGCCCATGTCCTCCTTTTCAGACACGTACAACGATTCCTGCAGCACAGCCTCAGTAGAGTCAGACACGAAGGAAAGTGAGGTGGCCAAAAGCTTCCCAGCAGAACAGAGGGCTGGCAGCTGAACAGCAGGACCAGCCTTCCTCAGGACCCTGTCCACCTGTCTTGATCTTGGGTGGACACTGGATCAAAGTTGCCTTTCTCACAAGCTCTGAGGTTCACAATTCACTAAAATTTTATCAACATGAACAGATGAGAACTGTGCTGTCCACCTGGCAAGCTGGGAAAAACAAACTTGAAAGGAGCATTAAACATCCAGAAAACATCAAACCTACCTTCAGTATTAGAGGAGAAAAATGCTTCTCGCATTGATTATCAAACTGTTTCAGAAGATGTGGCCTAAATTAGGTCGACAGCAGAGCTGAAGAGTCTCTATGCACGCACCTTTTGGCAACTTTGCTTGAGCACCACATCACTGCAGAGGGGCACATGGTGGTTACCAGTCCTTGCTCCACCCTGGGGTCACCTGGAGGTTTTTCCATTTGCTTGCCTCTGGCTGTGCCTTCCCTGTCCTCCTTAATTCCAGCTGATGCATCATCACAAATGTGCCCTTTTTGCTGTCAGTCAACACCAAAAACACCCCACTTGAGGGTGGCTGTGGAAAGGAGACTTCTGGCTGGGACCATCAGAGGCTCCGTGCCGCGGTGACGTGACCCCGCTGCGGTGGCTGCTGACACAGCATCCACACCTGGCACGGTGCCGGTGGCAGCTCCTGCCTGGGAGGTGCAGGCTAAGCAGGGAAGTAAAGACATGTAACAGCTACTGTGACAAAGAACACTCTGAACTCTTTTTACAGTCTAAGTCATTCCTCTGCCCCCTCTACAGTCTCTGGTTGCTGGATCACAACCCTTTGCATTTGGTGCCGAGAATTCAGTTGAATGCCATTTACTGTCACATGTTTGAGTAGACTGCATGCTTTCCTTGTGTGCTGGGCTATGAGTAGATACATTTCACCCCCCATTTGGAATATACTTAAGCATTGCAAATAGGCAGTGAGCATTAGATGCTCCAATGAGTGGATAAAGTGTTGTTGTTAAATACTTCTTTCCAGGATGTTTGATGAAAGGACTGTACCAAATCTCTGCCACATAAGGATGTAATGTATCATATAAAGTGATTACAGATGTTATGATTCCTATACAAGCCATTAGCTCATTTAGAGCAGCTGTTAAGGCATGAAGGCATTTTGATGGTAATTGGGTCTTATGTCCCACAAAAGCTGCTAGTACTGATAAATACTGCTAGTGAAGATAAATAGCTAAACTAGCTATTTAAACTAGCTGCTAGTAAAGATAAATATTGACTAAGAGCTGCAAACAGGCAAAGATCAGTCTGGTAAAAATGAGCCCAGAAGAAGCTCAAGAGTGGCTTTCACTCTTAGGGATGTTTTGTTTAACCCTCAGACTAGTGGTGCTTTATGTAAATAACAAAGGGCACTAAAAGCACTAGAAATGGAGATGAAGCAAACCAAAACCCATTCTTTACTAACAGCCTCTGAGCAAAGCAGTAGGTGTGTGTATCATTTCTGCTCTCACCTTCGCAGGGACTCGAATGTTTTCCTTAGTGTCTCAGTGGAGGCTGGTGTTGCAAGTACCTTAGTGTGGGAGTCAGGATAGCTGTGGAGCAGGCAGATAGTCCTGCTTGAGAAAAAGCCTTGGAGCAGGTAAAGGCTCAGTCAGATTTTTTTTTTTTTTTTGCCTGTGAAGATTTATTGCTTGATTATGAGTTGCACAGTGGTGATTGAATCCCATGGCTCTTCTAACCCTCCATATCTAAACTCTGTGATTTTTTACATTTTCTGTTCATGACTAAAGGATCTTTCTGGAATTTTTTTTTTTAATTTTTTTTTTTTTTTTTTTTTGTTCTATAGAGGTAGGAGCTTGCCTGTTTGTGTTGGCCATTTACCTCAAAATTGACATGTAGGCTCTCAGGAACATGAATCCTCTTGGTCTACTGTGGTTATCAGCATCTTGCAGGAAGAATTGATTCCTTTCAGTCCCCTAAGGGAATATGCAGCGACATTTTCTTATAGTGCAATTACTTTATCCTCCCTCTAAAATGAGTTCCTTCTGGTTTCTCTATTACTTTCAGTAATTTTTGCACAGGAACAGTGCTGCTGTCTACCCCTGCCCTAAGCACAGGAGAGGGAAGGGCTAGGGAGCTTTGATTGCACATTAGTGAGAATTGTAAGATTTTGTGTGTGGGAGACAGAGATAGGGAAGGGTTACCCTGAGTGTATGAAACTGCCAAATTGAAGATTTGTGACATTGCTGATGGATGGAGAGACAAAGGAGCAACCTTCTGCCTTTGCTGATGAGACAAAATGGAGTTTGATGACTTTTTGAGTTTTTAAAATAGTATGCAGGACAGTCTTTTAATTAGTGTATTTCTGTCAAGCAAAGTGATAATTAAGGGAATGACTCTCCATGTACAGTCTAGAAGATGATTTGGTAAAGTCCAGCAAGACTAATGTGTTATGTTAGGATATACTTATTCTGTCTGTAGGTCTTTGACACCATCCTATTCAGGTAGATGGACCTAAAAATCATAGCTTTCAAATAAGGATTTCATTTCAGTGTTGTTTGGAGATGCTATAGTGACCATTTAGAAGTTAATTAAAAGTAATGGTTGTGACTAAAATTTGGCTGTAGGAGACACCAGATCCCAGGTAAATCCGTGCTGCAGCAGCCCTTGCTGCTGGCCCTGAGCCTGGCTGTGCTCCTGGGCCTGGGCTGGTCACACCTGCCCTCCAGGCTGAGGGTTTGCCTGGGCTCTCCTCTCTCTGCCCTGCTGCTCTTCTGTGAAACTTCAGAAACTTCACATGCTCAAAACTGCCCTCAGAAGTGCTCACTCAGGTGTGGGTGGGCTGCAGAGTCCTTCCCTGGCACCAGTGACGAACAGAGACGGGCAGCTGCACGACACACAAGTCTTGCTTTTAGTAAACCAGGCTAAAATAGAATCAGCCTGATCCTCTCCTCTCACCTGGAACACCACCAGGTGGAGAACCAGACCAGTGCTGGTTGTCTTGAACACAAACAGCTGCAGCCAAACCACATCTGAGCTCTGGCTTTCCTCGCCAGTGACAGCAAAGCTCTGTGTGTGTCATGTTCTGGTCGTGTGTGTGATGAGAAGCCATTTTATTGTCTATGATTTTCTTAGAATTTTCGATTGGGTATGAGAAAGGCCATGAGCTTCCTCTCCAAAAATACTCAAAGACTTCAAATATATATATATGTGATTAGAAATATATAAGAATAACAAGAAAAAATATCCAAAATGTGTATTTCTTCTTGCAGCTGGACTGAAATAGCTGCTAAGATTTCCTCTCCCCAGCTGAGAATTGGTACAGTTTGTTTTCTTACATGATTTCCATGGTGTTGATAATGATGTATTTGTATATTGTGACTGATGAGAGATAATCAGACGGGGAAAGAGCACAGAATTACCTGTCCTTTTTTCCAGTCAATACAGAATGTATGAATTTATTACAAGAAAAAAGTGTGCAGATGAACTTCCTGTAATTAGGCCATTCTGACCTGTGTAGAACCACACTTTGTTTGAAATTTATAAAATTAATAACTAGTACAAAACCCTGTGGTTGATGTCTTTATATGAAGCAACAAGAAAAATGAGATTTTTTTTTTTTCTATCTGAAATAAATGAATTATCAGCAAAAGCACATCATCAGAGCTGAAAAAATTGACACATTTGTCCAATATAAGTTGAATTTGTCCAACACACCTGTCAAAAGGCAGAATAGTGTTTTTTTTCCTTTACCCATCTCCCTTAGTCATGTCTTGAATCACTGGGACTCTTAGGAGAGTGCAAGGGTTCACAGACAGCTCAGTGGAAGTCTTAGATGACTTTATAATAGTTACTCCTGAGATATCTGCATGCCTTTGGCTACCAGGGTTCATTAGGGAATGCTAATTGACCCAAATACAAGTTGTGGATCATGCAGAAAGGCAAGCAGGTAAAAATTAGAATGTAGAAACAAATAGAACAATATAAACTGGAGCTGATTTCATGCCGTATCCAGATTTCTGGGGGCAAACTTCACCCCACCTGACTCTTCAAGTCCTTGGCGTCGCCATGTTCCTGCAGCTGATATTGGTATGAGGAAAAGAAGAATTAGGAGCACACCAGATGCCAGCATGGGGGCTGCTTTGTTCCCTGCCCCAAGCAGGCCCCTGGCAGATGCCCAGGGCAGGAGTGAGTGATGCTCTCCTGCTGCTCATCCCCTGTGCCCACACAGCTCCTGCCCCGGCCTGGGGAGCTGTGCAGGAGCCCTCTGAGTGCCAGAGGAGCCTCTGAGTGCCAGAGGAGTCCTCTGAGTGCCAGAGGAGCCTCTGAGTGGCAGGGGTGTTTGGATGCAGCACTAACAGCGACCCCCTGCCCATCCACCTTGGCTGGAGCAGGCCTGGGAGCAGCAAAGGATGGTCCCCATGGGGCCAGAGCCCATCTGGGGCTCTGCTCAGCCCTGTCTTACTGGGCAGTAGGTGCTCTGTGGAGATGGTCACACCTCTCCCTTCTGTGCCTTAACAAACAAGATGGAGTTTGGCCTTAAATAGAGTATTTTCTACAGAACAGGGGAGGCACCAATTTACAGGCTGTGACCTGTGCTGGGGCACTGTGCACCAGGCTCTCAGACATGAGGGAGACGCACGAAGCTTTCCCTGGACTTGCAGAGCCCCAGGTCTCCTCCCAGTCAGCCCAGCAGTCATTTCTCTTTTCACTTTCTTTCCTAACCATCATTTATTTCCTTCTGCGTGAGTTTACAGGCAAGAGGCACCGGTCTCCCCCTCTCTCTCCACCTCCTTCCCAGCCATGTGACTGAGCACTCCCTGCACCAAGTGAAACTTTTCAGTCTCAGGGAAGCTCGGCTCGCTCGGCAGCGGCTCCCGGGGAGAAGCAGCGCCCTCAGGAGAGCCCGCAGCCCGCTGGCCATGGGGAGGAGCGCTCGGCAGCTCATCTCGCTGACCCTCGCCTGTGGTGAGTAACAGCATCATTTCTACCTGAAAAACGGGACATTATGTCGCTTCGGTTTCCTTGCAGTCAGGACAGCACCCAACAGACTCAAAACTTTGGACGGTTTTGTTGCTAACACTAAGGGGGCTTTCAGTAAAGTCCCACTGCCAAGAAATAACCATACCTGCTGTTCTTTGCAGCTGGTATACCCTTGGTTTGATACACTTAGTGTATCAAACTATGTGGTGCTATACACTTAGTCTTTGATGTTTTCTTCTGTCTTTTCCCTTGAACTCTTGTGGTGGCATAAACTCTGTGTGAAGGAGTCAGCTCAAAGCATTGTTAGAAGCAGACTTTTCTGGCTTTGCTTTTCATAATTAAAAATAATTTCCAGATCTGCACATCTAACTGAAAATCCTGAGTGAGACAAGCAGGAAAGAAAAAACTAAGGAAGCAGTGCTCAGGTCATTAATTTATCTGCATTGAGAGATGCAGAGCAGGATTAGAAAAGCAGGAATGAGGCTTGGAGAAGGCTGGGGCTTCTCTCAGTGACAAACCCCCTCAGAGTCACCATCTGATCCTTAATGCTGCTCTGTGAAAATCTGGGGAGCCATACACATGAAGGACATCTCTCAGTCACTGCTCAACACCTGCAGGAGCACTAAATTTGCCTGGTGAAGAGGACAAAATGTGATACAATCTGTGGAATGGCCAAGGGTTTGAGGTTGCTGTTGGGTGGGTTTTGCCATCAGCACATGGGGATCACACAAAGAACAACCCTGTCCCCCTCCCAGTCCATGAGCAGGGAAAGTGTCCAGGGACTTAACCACAAGCAGTTCCTGTTGTATCTCTCTGCTTTCCCATGCCTGCTTCATAGCCAAAGTCTGCTGAAATAGCCCCAAAACATAGAGATGAAAGGGAGAGCAAGATCAGAGTGGGTAGCAACACTAATAATTCAGTGGTCAGCAATCACTTTTTAACAGAAAGCACTTGTTTCCTCTGTTCTTTACCTGATTTTGATCTTTCCTTTAATAATTTGTTGTGATGTTTTATTAATGTCACAAAGTCAAGTCTTTCTATGCAGACAGGGAATGAAACATAATTAGTGCAGAACAAAACTGCTGGGCAATTGAACAGATGAGTGTGGTTAGATGAAAAGGGGAAAAAAACCCTCAGCAGGAGTTTCTATCACACACCCCAGCACAGGATGAGAAATGGCACAGCCAAGCCACAGCACAGAGCACTCAGCTTCCCACCATAACACCTGGGAGCAGAGCAGTGATGTTCCTGGTGACCAAAACTTGTCACCAAGCATAAAAAAGGGATCTCCAGGCCCAGACTGGGAACAGTGAATTTCTGAGAACTGTACTGGTCCATTTCTGGGAGTTTTGTTCTGGACCACTGCAAGGAGGCTGTCAGGGCTCTCACACAGCCCTCAGCATCTGTTACACACAATTTTGGTGCTGAAGTGAAACAAAGGGACTGCAGCTGCTTGCTCCAAGAAGATGCACCCCAGGACACTTGCATCCCTCAAGCAAAATGTTGCTTGTATGAAGTTTTGAGTTGGCTTTATAGGAGGAAAAAAAAAAAAAAAGAAAAAAAAAAGGGAAAAAATGAAAAAAACTACTGGGGGATGCAGAGCTGCCACTCCTTATGTTTCTGTGGCCTGTTCTGCTGTCAGAGCCACAAAAGGCTGTGCTGGGGGGTTTGTACTCACAGCTGCTTTCGGAGTGCTGCCAGGCTCCCAGAGAGGAACATGGCCATGCTAAGGAGCCTGGAAGCCTTCCCAGCCTCAGCTGGAGGGCAGATCAGGGACCCCATGGTCCCACCTGCCCCTTCACACAGCAGGGCCACCAAGCCACCTCCAGCAGCCACCCAAACACAGCCAGTGCCAATGGGTGCAGCTGCAGAGAGATCCCTGCCCATCCCCGGGAGCTGATGTGGCCAAATGCCTTTTGGGAAGACCAAGCCAATGGATTTAGCAGTGTGGCCATCATGCACTGGCAGAAGCCCCAAAATGCTTGGGGGAACAGTCTGGTAGTCACACAGTGAGCAAGAGCCACGGGCCGTTCCAAAGACATTTCTGGCTTTGTCCCTCAGGTCACCCTGTCCGGCTGAATAATGAAAAATACTTGGGTTGAAATGACCTTTTGAAGAGTTTTATTTAAAAGCTATGGGTGGCATTCTAATGTCACTTCAATAATACTTCTTTCTACATCTGTGTTACCTGGTCAGTAATCAAAACCAATCTGTGAACTGAAAACTAAGACCTACAGACAATTTAGGGCTCGTGTAAATTTAAATATGGATTGCTTCACAGTCTTAGAGGGGAAGAAAGAGTGAAAACTGCAACTTCTTCTTTCTTGTTTTTATCATGCTGATACACTTGGATGCAGCTACCCATAACTGGTGCATGGTAACTGCTCTGGCTTTCCCCTGGCCCCACAGAAGGAGATCAGTCATCTGATTAACAGCTCTGCATCAGCTGTGGCAAAGCTTAGGGAAAAGAGAGAAAATTAACTAAAGTATCGTATGAATTATGCATTTTTAGGTTCATTTTGAGAAAAAAACACAATATTTTTGAGGTTTTTCAACTGTCTCAAGTTGCATTTTGATGGTAATACCTAAAGCTGGCAGTCAGGTGTATTCTGTACAGCTCAGAGTGAAACCCAGGCAATTTTAGGAGTAAGGTGTATTTACATCTGCATTTCTGCTCTTCTCCAGCATAGCCATTTTTAAGGGAAAAATGGTAAGGTAAGGGTTAAGATCTGTGCATCTGCTCGTTTCTTTTATTTTTATCTTGAATTTGATTCAAAACCCAGTAAGTTTTATTATTCTTACTTAGTTTATATGTATCTGAAAATTGCTAGATTTTGTGAATTCAGCTATTATTGAAGATCTCTGTTCATGATGAGTGGCAATAAATAAATGAATAAATGGAAGAACTTGTGAGATTTCAGCCATTTTCATCCTTAATGTGCCTCTGGCCTTAATCTATCCTGAAATTCTAATCTCAGCAGCCTTCCTGCCATGAACTTGGACACTGATTCATGAGAAATTTCTTTGAAGGAACCAGTGGACAGTGAACTCAGACATGTGGAGCTGTACTGCTGGGAATATGAGCTATCTTGGACTTCTGGATCCCTTCTGCCTCCAAACTGGAGAATTTATCTCTGTCCTCCCACTAATTTAGGCAGTAAAGCATTTAACTACCTGTACCTTCATGAACATCAAAGAATTCACATACATCAGTGATTTATTTCTTTAACTCGACTTTGTCTTTCCAGAGTCTTGTTGCACACTCACAAAGACTTAAGCAGGAGAGTTGGGACATTCAAATATTCTACAATGTACTTTCCCACTTTTTGTTCACTTCTGTATTTACATTTAGGAGCCAGATATTTTTTTTTCACTTCTGCAAGGGACACATTTTTGTAAATGTTATTAGGTGGAATCATAATTTTGGTGCTGAAACTATTTCCTGATGTGGTCTAAAATGCTCCTGGATGCTGCACCCTGATTTTTTTTTTCTCATTTCTGAAAGCCAATCACTTAGAGGGAGGTCTTTCTTTGGGTTCTTCCAGGAGGAAGAACTCCAGGGTTCAAGCTGACATGGCTACAACAAAATTAATACCTGGAATTTCCCTGTTCCCAGACTGGTTTCCCAGACTTGTGAATCACTGTAAGACCATGGCACTGCCTCACTTCCTTCCCACACACAGACACATCCCCATTCCCTACACTTTGTTGGTAAGAAACCAACAACCCCTTTGGCTGCTGCACCCACTTCATCTTCCTTACAATTTGCTTCCAGCAAATCCTGCTGAACTAGTGCCTGCAGGGAATTCTTGTGCTTCCTGGGGATTGTGCAAGGTCTGGTTCCTCAGTGTGTGGAGAGCTGGGAGCCAGTGTGCTCCCCTGGAATGGGAATACTCAGAAGTGTGAAGCTTGGGGGGTGGTGCCTAGCTGTGGATAGTCCTACAGGGTGTCTGCCTTCACTCTCCTATCATGACTGGAGCCAAATGAAGAGTGAAATTGTATCACCCATTTGATAACAAAGTGCAGGTATGTTGTGGTTATCAACATAAAAATGAAATGTAAAGGTTTCTAGACTACTGACTTTAGTTTCTTTGCAGCATTTTCCTCCTGCTTTGCTGAAGTGGCCCTGGGGGTCGAACTGTCTCCAGAAACCACATCCTTCCACCAAATGGCTACTTCTGCTCAGCCACTTTCCCTTTATCATTCTTCACCCCATCAAAGCACCGCAGTTCATTTTACCAGCACAGGCCCTCTTCAAACAACACCCATGGGCCACAGAACAGCTGAGCAGACAACGGAGCAGCTCCAGGCAACATCAGCTGCAGGCCAGCACACGGCAGCCCAGGCAGGAGCAGGCACTGTACCCACAGCCCCTGCAGACAGCCCCGGCCCCGGCCGGGCCACCACCCCGGCGATGCCCTCGCTTACAGAGGTGGTCAAGAACACCACCACTGCCCCTGTGTCCTCCACCAGGCACGGCAAGGGACCACGTGTGACCACAGGAACTGCGGCAGTGGCCACCAACACCTCCCTGAAGCACGAGACAGCGAGTACCCCGGGGGCAGCTGCCACCTCCGCCTCGGCAGCCCCCAGCACGCCGAGGGCCGGGCCCAGCACGCGGTCACGGAGACAAACAGCAGCCACTGGTGCTCCAACAGCCACGGCCGTGACCAACACAACAGGCACCCATGCAGGGACACAAACAGCCCCCACATCCCCTGCCAGCACAGCGAGACCCCCTCCCACCCCACAGCCCTCTGCCATCCCCACAGGCACCTACACCGTTTCTGATGGCAACAGGACCTGCGTCAAAGCCGTCATGGGTCTGCAGCTGATGGCCCGAAATACACAACAGGTGAGGTGGAAGCTGAGCTTTGTAGTGACTTCATTCATTAGCTGGAGTTTATTCTTCCTCTTTCCAAGCCATTTTCAGAATTAGCTTCTATGATCAAAATAAGTGGTTTGCTGCCAGTCTAAGGCCCCTTGTGTGCCACAGCATCTCTGCTGCTGTACCCCTGCTGGCCTGTGTGATGATGATGCCAAGGGGATGTAAAGGTGCTTTCTTACTTCAGTGATATTTGTGGGAGCAATGCTGGGGCAGGGGATCAGCCTGCAGGGTTATTTGTGCTTCCCACAGTGGGAGGTTAGTTAAAATCAGAACTGACTTCAGGTAAGAGCTTGACTTTGTGAGTTGCAAGGAAAGCAGAAATTGCCAGTTCACAGACTGGGATTTAGAGGTAGGCTGTCCTGAAGCTGATGTATGGACATTTTAGGATCATGGGAGCTGCCAGGTCCTGAAGAGCTGCTCCTCTCTCCTAGAAGTGATCCACTGAGAATGTTTCAGCAAAAGATGCCATACAACCTGAAATGGCCATTGTGTCCCTCAGGATTAAGGTTTTGTTGCCTCCATTAATACACCATACGGAGCCACATCCTCAGGCCCTGGAGTTCTTATGCCATCCCTGTTACAAATACAAATACTCATGTTTGATGTCTGAATATTTCTAAAATAGGAAAAGTGACTGATGTTGGTAAAGGTAATTTTCATCCCTTGTCCTGGCAGAAGCCAGGAAGGGAGCAGGATTCCCAGCCTCACCAGACCATAGTGAGATGTTGATAATAACATAAGGTACTCCCTCTTTGTGAATTACCACTCATACTCACCTGACTCTGCCTGAATCATATCAGTTCACTGAATGAACAGAAACCAGATATTTTCTGCCAGCTTAATGCACTGGAACAGCTCAGTGATGTGTCAGACAACCACCAGTGCTGGTTTATAAGTGGGGAACAACCCTGGCAGGTAGAGGTTCGGCTGCCACCACCACTAGCCTGTTCATTCAGCCATGCAGAGCCTGTCTGGGGGCATAAAAAGGGCAAATCTCTGCATGTTTTGAAGTTATTAAATCTCTGCATGTTTGCTTTCATTCATCAGCAGTCCTGCAATGTCTCTTTTCTCTGCAGGAGCAGATGGAATATGTGACTGTTAACCCAAATGCGACAAAGATATCTGGAAGCTGTGGGATGGTGCAGTCTGAGCTGAACTTAACTTTTAGTGGAGGATTTGTAAACATCAACTTTGTAAAGGTAATTGTTGCATTTAGAAGGAAGGAGTCTTTGGGACTGGAAACCAAGAACAAAGCAAAGATGCCTTTGATCCAGCTTGAGCTGTGGGAAAAGGCATTTTATCTATCTCTGTGCTTATTTTACATCTGAATATAAGGCATGGTTACTCCTGTTCCTCCCAAGGGGCTAGAACCACAGGACCATGGTTTAATTAATTTAGATTGGAATATACCTCTGGAGGCTGCCTGGTGCAATGTCATGCTCACAGTACAACTGTGGCTTCAGTGTTAAATCAGGTCTGTTTGAACTTCCCATTTGGAAGGGAAGGGTAAGCACAGTACTCTGCCATCCTCTGACAGAAGGTGCCAGAGAGCAGCGTTAAAGCTGCCCATCAAGCAACACGAAGTCTAGGAATAACCAAGCAAAATCTGAGTCTCTTTTTTACATAGGTAAAAGTCTCATAGGAGGGGAGGTCAGATCTGCTGTTTGCATTGGAGTGGTGCAGAGAGAAAGGGTTTGGGACTGGAGTCCCTGTGCAGGAACAAGGTGTGCTGGCAGCTCTGACTCATTGTCAAGTTGCTCTCAGCCATTTGCATCCCATCTCAGGTTGTCAAATTCAAAGGACAGCCTGTGCAGATTTAAGTGCCCAGGAGCCATGACACATCCGTGGCTGAAGGAGTCTAATTTCATCTAATTTCTGAGTGAAAAATTCCAAACAAGTGAACCACAACAGCAAAATTGTAGGTAAGTGGCCTTAAAATGCACCATACCAGGGAGAACCATAAACACACACAGAAACTTGGGCAAGATGAGAGATCCTGCTTTCACAGTGGGAAACTGAGCTTTGTTTTTGACATTGTATCTATTAATTCCATGTTCCCCACTGGGGCCACATCACATGCAGGTGTGGCATTAACACAAGCTACCAAGAGTGCTGTAGCTTTTACAAGCACAGGAGAAAATCCCTGAGTGCAGCCATCCTCTTGCTAAATCAGGCATTTGCACATTTTGGGAGGCAGCACTATTTACCTGAAAGCTGTAAGGGCTGGGTGATGATGCCAGCAGAGGTAAAACAGAACTAACACTATACTATATATTACTATATAACACTAATTGTGTATAAAGTCATTAATGGGCATGGAGGAATGGGCAGGAACACAGCACAGGCTGGATTCCATCAAACTCTGGCAGGTGTAATGAATATCAAGGCCATGTCCTGGAGCTCCACAGCAGCTGAGAGCTGCATCTGGCCATCACTGCTGATCTGTGTCCTTCAATTAATCAAGTTAAATGTCAGTCTTGCTGCCTGGTTCCAAGCTCAAATTAGAGACAATTAAGAAAATTACAAATGGTTAATCAGTCATTTTCATAGAAAGTCCAAGAGAGAACAGCAAATTATACCCCACATGTTTCATTAATTCTTGAACAGAAAAAAATATTTTGATTAGTACTCATCTTTATTTTAGCTTATGGCTAAAAGTTTTCTAAGAGCTACAGAGGAAAAGTAAGGTAAAAAATGAAGGAGCTCTTTCAAAACAAAGGATCAGTTCAGACTCTTTGAGTGTTTGCTTTAAATGTGTGCTTCCTGCAACAAGAGGAGCATTTTTGGTCTTACAAGAATCCTTAGGGAAAGGCTGGGGATTCAAGTACCCATGAAAGCCCCCAGGTTGCAGCAGTGCTAAGGAGAGTGATGTGAACCTTTAGGAGGTGCTTGACCTGCCTTGCCCTGAAAAAGGTGGTTTTTGGCACAGCATTAGACAATGCACCCTCCACTTAAAGACAAGCCTCAAGAGCATAGCAGGGCTCAGCTTGGACTGCTTTGAAATTCAAGTTACTAAGAAAACAGTTTGCTGCTGGCTTTTTGTGTTTGGTCCCCACAGCCTCTCTCAGTGCTTTGAAGCAGGAGTGCTCCAGCAGTGGCACTTGTGGCTGTCCCTGTGGGAGAGGAGCTGGCTCGAGCCCCAGGGCTGGGGTGCCAGAGGAGAGGGGCTGGTTCAGTGCTCGCCACTCCAGCGGCCTCTGCAAAGGGCTTGAGAAAAGGAAGTTGTGTAACCAACCCACAAGATGTGAAGTAGGAGCAGGTGTTTTCCCCAAGCAAAGTTTTTAACCGTGGCCAAACAGAACAAAGCACTGCCACCCAAAAATGGTCATATTTATGTCTTAAGTTCGAATAGTGCTGAGAACCTCTTCTCTGGTGCATTTCTTTCTTCAATTTTCCCACTCCATCCTAGAGGTGCACAGGAGACATTCATGCCATTTACCCACCAGCTGCACACATGAATCCCTGTGTGCCCACAGCAGGAATTAAACAGGGTAGCAGGGCTGCTGCATGAGGCATCACATTTTACTCCAACACTGCTCCCAGGGAGAAGCTCCCAGGGCTGGCTCTCGCCCTGTGGCACTCCGGGGGAGAGCAGTGTCCAGGCTGCACCAGGGTTTCAGGGCACATGCAGGCAGGACACCTGGCTGGAAATTTTGGCCTGTGCTGTTGTGCCAGGTGCTTTCCATGTCAGCAATCTTCCTACTATTGGTTATCACAAGTGTCTGATGAGTGCCCAGCTTGAGCAGTTTGTGTAAAATGACACCTTCATGGCCCCGTTTCACTGAACTGAACAGAACTGGTGATGCAGCTGAGATTTGGAAAAGAAAAAATACATCCAAGAGAGTTGGTTCTTGGGTCTCAAAGGTGATGCTTTACAAAGTGTTCCTTTGGGAAATTCTTTATGACCATTTTGCTGAGGTAAGCTGTGTTTCTTTCTGCTGCAAGTATGAGCATGTATTACGAATAAAGATACATCTTCTTTTGCAGCAAGCTCCAAGTTACTCTGTGACTAAAATTGAGAGCAGAATACTGTTATCTTCTGAAGGTCAGTGATTTTAACCTGTCTTACTTTCATAATAAAACTGTTCTGGGTGTAGGATAAGCTTTCAGATCTTTAAAAGACTGGATTTTGCAACTATGTGTTTTATCAAGCTTTCCATGTGTCATTCACCTAAATCTTATGGTATGAAAATGGGAGAGGAGGGGCCTGGCTGCAGTTACATCACTATTATTGCATTTTCTTTTTGATCTCAAAAGCTTTCCCTGTCCCACTCTTTCAGAATAGAGATTACTTCAAACCTTGCCTGCTCCTATGAGAATTCTAACCTCCTCCTGCAGACTCAATTTGTTAAAATGTGATTTGAAGAAGCATCTGAAATTTTAGCCACTTTTTCAGACCTAAGCTCAGCTGAGTTGCCCATTGATAATTAAAGCACTCATTTAAAGTGTAAGAAGAATAAGTGATAGCTTATGGAGAAAGTGTCCATGCTTTAGTCACCTCTGGGACCATTTTACCTCAGGAAGATGTTGGCCCCAATGGGGTCAGTGTGGATCCTCATCTGTCTCTCTCTGGCCTCCAGGTATGCTTTACTATGCAGCCCTAAATGAGAAGCTGTTCACAACAAAGCTGGGGAATTCCTTTAAGTGTGCCAGCAGGCAAACCTTCCCCTTGGAGAAGAACTTCCAGATCCTCTTTGTTCATATGCAGCTGCAGGCGTTTGACATTGTGGGTAACCAGTTTGGAAAAGGTAAGTAGAAGGATACTTTTCCAGCCTTCCCAGATCTACAGCACTCTGGTGGCCTGATGGATGTAATCTGCTAAATTATACCCATACACATCCCACTGCTGTTTTCTCAACCTCTCCTGAGTCATTTCCAACACAGTGCTAATACCTATGGAGGATGGAAAAATATCTTTCCCCCCTCCATTTAGTACCTTCTGTTTCACCTTCTCATCAGAAATGTTCAGCTCTACAGACACAATATTCTTCTTCATGCATTTTCTCCCTGAACAAGCAGAGGTGTGTTCACCACCAGGGCACTGCCCAAACCCCAACGTGCAAAGTTCATTTCCAGGTCACTGTTCTCAATGTAGCCAGATTTTAGCTATTCTAAAAGACTCCTGATACATTGTCTACAGCTGCAGCAGCAAAACAGCCAGCTGATAAGGGGTATTTGTGAATGCAGGATGATATTTTCAGAGCAGCTGTGTCTAGACATGATGAAAAGTGCTCCTGAGGAGGGGCACAACTGGCCCACTCCCAGCTTCAGAATGAAACATGATGCTCATCTCTTCAGTTTGTCTTTTCTTGGAGAAGTGCCACAAAGAGACAATCAGGTATTGTAGTAACAGACAAAGACCAGAGAGGGGGACTCAGTGGGACCTTGTGGTCTCTTTCAAGTTGTCCTTTTTCTCATTTCTGTGGCATTTCCATACAAGAACTCACGTGCACAGAGGGGCTGACCAGCTCTCCAGCCCTTCAGATTCAGCAATAAGACATTTTCTATTCTGCCACTTGTTTTTCTGCATGCTTACAAAATACTGCCCCTGTATTCTTTTTAATTTAGACCTGTCTTTTGACTCAGTTTGACTCTCTGACCAACTCTTCTTTTGTTAGGTCACCATTTTTGTTACCTTTTTCCATTCTAAAAGGAATATAATGGGAAACAACATTTGGGACTTTTTAAAGACATGGTTCTTCTCCACACTGAAAATCCCATCTATGCTCTCATTCTATGGAAATTTTTTTCATGGGATAACAATGAGCTGGAAGAACCCATGGGATCCCATCTGGTCCCTGCATTCCCATTCAAATGTGTACAATGAATGATATTACTTATGGGATTAGGTACAGTCTCACTTCTAGGAGAGACTCAGCTAGAAGGATGCTCTCTGTTTCTCCCTCTCTCTCTCCAAGTCAGACTAATCTCTGCTAGTCAATACCACATACAAATTTAAATTAGTCTTACTCTTAATCAGAGAGCTGAGAAAGCAGCTCCCACCTCTGAAATAATTCCCCTGTGGCTATAAAACAGTCATGAAACTGTTGTGTATTGGCTTCATGTGCAAATTCTGAAAGAGAAAATCCCCAGTGAAGGAATGACTAAACATCACCAGCCTCCTCCCCTCAAGACTGATAGTTTCACTTCTGTTGCTCCTGATTTGCTTATCTTTAAATGGGGAAGAAAAAGAAAACATTAATGGTCATTGGTTTCAAGTTCCTAATGATTTTGTAGAGATTAGAGCAGTGTTGTATCAATAGCTTGATCTGTTTGAGTCTAGAAATCTGCAACAGAGCCTTCTGTATTTCATTGTATCAGGAACAATTTCTACAGTTCATAGAGTTCATTCCTTCATTCCCAATGTTTCATCAAAGCAAAATGGCCAATTCAAACATCTTTGGCTTTTACAACTCTTAGATGCAAATACTTTTCAGCTCATTTAACAGCAGGTTACATTAACCAGACAGTGCTTTTAAAAGGCAGCCTCTAATAGAATGCTCATGCCGCTGGCTTTGTGGCATTGCATCACCATCTGGATTAGAGCAGAAAAGGATCAGACTTTGGGAAGGACCATGTGGAGGCTCTGGAGCTGTGATATGATGTCATGGACGCCACATGTTCCCTGGGCTTATTGCCCACTGACAGAATAAAATTCCCATGGGGGAAAAGCCCAAGCCAAGCTACAACCTGTGCCAGCACAGTCATGGAATAAGAGTCAAGGTTTCTATCTCCAGGCACTAGCAAATCCTGCCTCAGGACAGTCGCAGGGCGTGAGGGGGCACAGGGTGTCAGATCTCCCTCGTATCCTGCTATAAACTGGATTTGCTGCTGAGCTGGGATGTGCAGTGGGGTTTAGCTGTGGGGTTTAGCTGACCACGCTGCCCTGCTTAGAGAACAGTTTGCTCTGCAGTTGTCACTCACAGCAGCATGACAGAGGTCTGTCTTTCCCTGGAGCACGAGGAAGATCATTCCTGTAGATCTGATGGGAGATGTAGGTCTGATCCAATTCTGGGATAACACATTAGTGGTCATTCCCAGAAGTTGCCTTCACTCCCAGGACTACACTTGTATTTTGAATTTGAGGTTGATCCTGCCATTGTAACTGGGTAAATTTTCCATTTCTGTCAGTGGCCCACATGGTACAGTCTCTCCATAGGAAAGCTACCAATTTACTTCATTCTGGAAGTTCACTTTAAAGTAATAAGAGTCTGTTTAATCAGAGGATGATTTGAATATTCATTTGGGTAGGAATTGGCTGAGGAAGCCAGAATTTGCCCTCTCTGTAACTAAGAGGTATGTCTGGAGTGGTATCTTTAGATGGTCCTTCAAAGATATGATTTGTGTCTGATATCATCATATGTACAACAGAATTGCAAAGGTACTGCTAAAGCAACTCCCTGGACTGTGTCCAAGGCTTCTGCCTTTCTAATGTCTGAGTCTTCTGAGTTAGCCACCATTATCTACAAACACTCTGAATTAAACAGAGAGAAAATTAGAATTTGATTTTTCTTAGAAAACACTGACTTTACAAGAATCCCCACTGGACTAGTGATGTGCTGGACTATGGGCTTCTGTCCCTGGCCTGATCCTCTTCACTGGGAAGGAGCAGTCAGATGTCACACAGGAGCAGTTTTTGACCTTGCAGGATGTCTTGCTCTTTATTTTCAGGCTGGCACTTTGTATTGTGATGCTCCCCATCTGCTTTTGGAAAGAAAGGCCCTGCAGTGTGTGTGCTGAGTGGTGAAACAATTCCTGCAGATCTGAGGGAGAAGAGCCACTCTCCAGGAAAGCACAGAGCTGCTGTAGAAGGGGCAAGGATGGTTTTCTTGAGATAAGGCTCATCACAGATAGAAGTGTAGTAAGTATAGCTCAGGAAAAAGAAAGGGAAAAAAAAAAAAAAAGAAAGAAAGGTTTTGAGAACTTCTGACTTGTATTTGCCAACTTTACTGGAATAGAGATGTACAGTTTAGGAGTATGGTGTTCTGCTGTAACATTCTCTGATCTCCTTTTCCTTTCAGAAGAAGAATGTTTTCTTGATAGAAACGGCAGAGTAGCTCCCATTGCAGTGTGCCTGTGTATCCTGGGATTGTTTGTCATTGTGTTTGCCACCTTCCTGATCTCCAGGAGGAAGCCACAGAGAGGATATGAACGCATCTGAGGTGCCCCTATGATTCCAAGTGTGTGCAGCAAGCAGAGAAGTCACAGGAGTTTTTGCTTCTGCCTGGCAATCTCTCTGCCCTGAAGCCACATTTTTAAGTGAGATGACACTGTGTGTTTACAGCTAATGAATGTTTCTGGAAGGAGTTCTTTTAAGGTGGGAAGGAGAGAACTCACACCTTCTGCTTTAGGCTATTCTTAGCATCTAATTTAGATGTAGTCCAAAATGAGGAGCCTAAATTCTCTCTGTTGTCAACAAAGGAGGTCATTCAGATCACTTAAGCCATATTCCTAAAAATAGCTTAAAGCAAGCAGTATCACTAACTCCCAGAAAATGCATCAGGTTTGTTAATGATGGTGTTCAGATTTATCAAAAGACCTCAGTCTGACCTTCAGGTGAATAAATCTGAGGCCCACAGCTACAGACAACCCTGCTAAGTGAGAGCTCACTGAAAGCTTTTTCAGAACATGGTGTGTGCCAAAATCTCAGGGGAATTGTCAGTGTGACTCCACTCACAAGCAAGTTCTCACCAGTCCTACACACGGTTACACTTCCTAAGCTCCTGGGGTTCTCCCTCTAAGCCCTTTGCAAAGACAGAGTGGTAATTGTGACTCTTACCCTGGAGCTTAATATGTTCCTGGTCTTGTGAGAGCTCAGGAATCCCCCACGTGCTGTTCAGACATGGACTTGTCACAGTGACCACACTGAGCCCAAGAAATGTCCTCTGCTGGGGCAACAGGGTGGTCTCTTAATCCAGGAAGATGCCACATTCACTGGAAATGCCTGGGATTAAGTGACCATCACTGGGGCACCTAAATGAGGTCCATGAGAAGTGGAAATCCACTGATGCTGTATGATCCAGGTTTCAGTGGGAAATAAAAGCTTGCACAGACCTTGGACAAATCTGCCCAAAAGTGAGTATTCTCCAGGGTGCTCAGGGCTGAGCAGCTGGATTTTCATATGGAAATAATTTGGAGTTGCTTTAAAGCACAGTGATACACTCTGTAGTCTATTTCCTGCTGAACCAATGATGAAGGCATGAGAATAGTAATTGCTTTTGAGATTTAAGTCCAGCTCATGTTCTTTGTTGTAACAAGGAAAAGTTCCTTGTCACAAAAGATTTACATGTGCAGAAATGTGCACATACACACATACACATGTGCACATGCCACACAATCTGCTCACTGAAGCAAATGATATCAAGATGATAAGAAATTATGTACAAAAACATTTGCAAAAGAGAAGATAATATTAATAAGAACACACTTCCTCCAAGGAGTTAGGATAATGGCTTAAATTTTACTAATAAAAGCTTGGCCTGGAAAAGGACTGTGAAATGGCTCTCATTAAACAAAAGAAAGACTGAAGTCATAAGCAAAAATGCCTTGACAGTTAAATCTGTATCTAAACAAAAAGGAAATGCTGGGAGTTAATTAATTTCTATGAATAATGGCCCAAATCCTGCGCAGTTATTAATGGTGATGAAACTTCACTGGATTTTCACTGGATAAAATTGATGGTTATGTCATGTCAGATATTCGCTTAAGTATTTAAAAAATAGTTTTGGTATTTTACTAGTATTTCACTAGTAAAGTGCAAGTTTACTTATTTAAAGTAAACTTCATTGCAAGTTGACTTATTCAAATGAAGAAAGAAAAGAAATTTTTCCGTTCTATGAATTAATTAGAGATGTTGGTCTGTGTGAAGCAGGAAACATGGCCATACGGCTCTATAATCAGTATAATATGTAGCTGTGGAAGTAATTAACATTCTCTAGAAATGTTCCCTTTGAGTCTGAATGAACCAATAAATAAGAAAGATAAAGACAATTTTGAAGCACTTTTACACTTGGAGAAACATCAGAACCAGCTGTGAGCTCAGGAACAGCTGAATACATTTATAAGATAAAGTAGCACAAGAAATAGGACACCAAACTGTCAAGCCTTGAATACAGACACCATGATTTGGACTGTATTCAGTTGAATACTCAAATTAAAATGTAAGTATTTCTATTATTCTTTTGCAAAAGGGCTCCAGCACTGTTCATAATGCTTAGTGAGCTTTATTGAGCTCATTCTCCCTTCCTCCTTTCTCCCTTAGCAGACAAAGCAGCCTCTGGACTCAGACCGTGGGCCTAGTAAGATCCCTCTAATTCTCAGGGTTACTTAATCCTATGAATCTGTTGCTTAGAAAGCAGATTTTTATACTCAATTAAAGCATTCACCTTTTTTTAAAAAATGAGATGTCTGGGAGGAAAGGTAAATGGACGAAGGCCTTCCATTTGAAAATGAGCATGTGCCTGCAGTAGGGATGTCACTGTCCCAGTCTGCTACATGTGGCCATTTTAACAAAAGCTGCCTAAAAAGCTCAGCATGTGGTCTGGCCTAAGCTGTTCTGCCCAGGGATCAAACATCCTTCCCTTGTCAAAGCTGAGTCCCATTTCACGTGTTCTTTGGGTTGCTGGATTGTGTGATCTGTGTTACTTCTACTGACATGGATATAGCATTTGCTTGTTCTGTTCTGAAAATTTGTTTTATGTTAATATTCAGTCATTTAAAATAGTCTGATATCAGCATGAGGACAGAAAAGAGTTACTAATGACTGCTAATACTGTGGTTAATATTGTGACAATATTGTTAATACTGGCCTTTTTACTAGTGATGCACGAATAATGTTTTTCCCCATAGTTTTTTTTTTTTTTTTCCTACAGTGAATCAACACGTTGGTATTGAACAATGTTTGGATTCAGATTTACCTTATTTGTTCTTATGCTTTTTCTTGCTGTTTTTGTTTTCTTGCTAACTTTTGTTTTTATTTTTATGAAGCTGCATTCTGCCATTTGTACATGAATGATACTCTGGGCTTGCTCTAACTGGCACCGGTGAAGTGCACGTGGTGCAAACCAATGAAATGATTGGATGCTCCCAGGAAATGCTGCCAACATGCAGCAAAATTAATCCAATGGAGTTAGTGCTTTACAGCAGTAGAGTATCCATTGGAGAAATCCTTACTGCATCAGGAGATCCCAGCCTTGAAGTGCAACCTTCCTCTCAACTGTGGCCCAGCCTGCATCCCATCACCTCCATCCCTGATCCCAAACCCAACCAGCCTGCAGCAGGGATGTGTCAGCATAGCAGGGAATGTTGCCTCTCCAGATTTAATGCTGAATTAGAGTCAGACAGCCCAGCTGCTCCCTGAGCTGCCATGTGCAGCTCTAAAAGCTGATGCCCATATTTATTTTCCACCAGAATATAGGAATATATTTAGCTGGCACTTTTTTACCTAATGGAGTGGCTTTGAGGTCTCCCTCCTACTGGGAAGACTCTGTAGGGTAATTCCTCTTGGTGTTGCCAGACTTGCTCTTTTAAACATCTGGTCTGAGGAAGTATCTTGAGCAAAAAGTCCCTAAAAGAACATCATACAAAAGGAGGATATTTGATGAACTGCTTGCATGCTAGGTGGGCTGTAATGGCCATAGCATGGAGCAGCAGGGCAGTTCTGTCTGCTGTGGGAGGAGACAGTTCTGCAGCTGGGTCCCAGAGTGACTCAGCAGCCCCAGCTCACTTCTATCCCCCAGCTGCAGGCTCAGACCAACCCAGCCCTGAGCCAGAAGGTGCTGATCAGGGTGATGTGATGCATCCACCAGGGAAGCAAGGCTTCTGTGCAAGCGTCTGCTGGTCGGGAGGTGGTGGGGCCATCACAGGGACTAGGAGCAGAGCACATCCCCACATCCTGATGGCTCCCTGGTGCTCTGCTGCAGCTCCCGTGCCAGACCATCCCCATCTCTGCACACCCAAGGCAAAATGAGGGTATCCCAGAAACACAATGATGTCACACTTAGACAAGTCACTGAGGAGTTTAAAAAGCAGGGTTTAATTTGTTTCAGTTCTTTCTGTTCTCTGATGGACAAGCACAAATTAAGAAACAGCTGTTAATTCAGTTGAAAGAGGAAGGGAGATTAGATTGGCATCTTGAGTACAACTTGGCTGATCACTTCTAGCTTGCTATAATGTAAGGCTGCTAAAAATAACTTGCTATGAGAAGTAAGATATGCTCTTTATTTTTCTATTATTGGTGTTTCCATAATAAAGGCTGTATTTAATCATTACAGTGTGCAATGATTTTATCTCTGAAATGACTGAGTCTCACATGTTGTGCTCTTCATGAAGCAAAGATTGTTAGTTGGACTGCAGGAAAGCAGAAGACATGGTAAAGATGGGGGAGAAAAAACAAGTCTGCTGCCAGCAGCTGATTGAGGAACTTGGCTGTTGGAGAAGTGCCAGTGAAGGCAGCAGTGAGGCTGCAACTTCCCTCAGGGATAAAATACCAGAAATATGCTTCACTTCATTTCTGGTGTCAGTGCACATCCCTAGATGATGGATAATTTAATGTCAAAAGGTGAAAAGTTTGCAAGCCCCTTGATTTGTCCTTCAGAAGAAAAGCAGGGCTGCCTGGAGAGCAGGGGCAGATTGCTCTGCCCTTTGGCACTTGCTTGGCCTGGTACAATGTTAAATTTGATGCCAGGCTTGCACCTATTTAGTGGCAAGATTCCTTACTTCTTCATGTTTTAGAAACTGGGCTGGTAAATACACAGTTGTGTGTGTGAAGTAGGCCTTCAAAGGCTGCTGGTGTTTCAAAATTCTTTCTTGACAAGGTTTAGTGGCAGATGGAGGAAAAGTCAACTATTTTGCTTAAAGGCAAAAAATCCCCACCTATGAGTCACACCCTGGACTGTCCCAGAGGCTCAAAGGTTTGGAATTAATTGAAGAAACCTTTGCATCAGAATATTTAGAAGAAAAAAGGAGGTGTATTTTTTAAGCATCAATTTGAGCAAAATAACAAGCATGAGAAGTGAAAGATTTCTGTGGAGTTAACCCTTTGTGACTAAGGTGACAAGACTTGGACACTACACTTTTTTCCTCACTTTTTCAGTCCGGGGTTGTGGCCATTGAATGTCAACAAGGCAGGGGAATGTGAGTCTGAAGTTTATCTGCCACAGCAACATAACACTGCTGGGCTTTCATCAGCAGCTGGGCTTTCCCAGCCAGCCACAAAATGTCACAAAACATATGTTTCTCTTTGTGAGTCTTATTGCCTATGGAACTGGTAGATCTCAAGTATTTTATGAAATTATAAACTAACAGACTCAGATTCTTACTTAGCTCTTTGTTCACAATTTTAGATAGGAGAAGATGCATTTCCAACATGCAAAACCAAAACAAATGGCTGTTGGGAAAAAGGAAGGTGTTCAATATGAGTCAGGATATCTGTGTCTATTAGAGACACAGATCTTGGTTTAGAACCTCAGTTTTACTGAGGCTTTCCTATATCACAAAAATGTTTGAAGATTATGAATCATGAGTCCAGCCAATGTTTAACCTCATGTTACCGAGGAATGGCTTTGTTGTCATCAGGTCAAGGAAAATGAATTCATATTTCACATTACATTTTTCACAACCTGCTTATGGAAAAATTTGTTATGAGCAAACTACTCAAACTATTAACCAAAGCATCTTTCAAAATATGCCCAGCTTCCACAATAAAATTAAAAAAAAAAAATTTGCCAACCCAACCTATCCACTATATTGGTAGGTTCACCTGAGTGCTTCCAACTATGGATGTGCACATCAAACATATTACTGGTGTCACTGAGGAAATTATTATTTCCTCATTTAAGCTTTATTACACTGTACTTTCAAACATCTGTGTGTATAGTCTGGTGATCCCGCTTGGCTTTGCAAGCCCTAAAAACCCTGCTGGCAGGATGCCTCCACCAAGAGCAGATTTGCAATGTAAATGAGTTTGCCACTTCCATTAGTTGTATTGCTAAAAGCCTCTTCTGGCACCTCTGATTTAAGTACTGTAAAAAATCTGTAGCTCTCCCCAACGTCCAACAGTTAAACTACATAAAATGCTGCCATCTTGTGTTTAGAGACAAATTAAGCAAGACCTTTTAAAAATCTGGATTACAAAAGGCAAAAGTAGGATCTACACTGTCAGCATCTTATGTTGGAGAAGACTGGATTGAAGGGATTATGGAAAAGGGGAAGCTTCACTTAATAGTTTAGTTTTTTAAATCTCATCCTTAGAGCAAGTGCTGATCCCTCTTGCAGTCAGGTCCAAGGGATGATTTCTCCAAGCTGATCCAGTGTCTGTTTAACCTTCTTGGACCTTCCAGTCACTGGTGTGAGGGGTCACCATGGCAAAGTTAAAACAGCAGGAGTGGAGCAAGCAGAGACTGCCTGCATACTGAAGATGCTCTTCATGTAAGAAACTGTTAATGCTTCAGAGTATGGACAACACTTAAGAGCTTAAACACTGCCACTATTGCAAGTGATAGCTGGTGTATTCCCGTTGTGAAAAAGCACAACAGCTTTGCTTTTCGTAAACAACAACTGGAAATACTTTGACTGTGCTGGGGCCGGGCAGGTTCAGCAAGGCCCTGCACTGGGGTGGGCTGGGCCTTAAACAGATGGATTTGGGGAAGAAATCCTTCCCTGTGAGGATGGTGCGGCCCTGGCACAGGCTGCCCAGAGCTGTGGATTCCCCATCCCTGGAAGTATCCAAGGCCAGGCTGGATGGGGTTGGCAGTAACCTG